CACATGTGAAAAGTGAAATAATGTACCATTACTGCACCATATGTTGGAAGGTGCAGTGCTGAAAGTTTTCAATATTTATCTGAGTATATACCAAGCCGCCTTTTTGTCTGAGCGAAAGGATTTTACTGCTAGCAACACCAGCAAGTCCAGGCAGATTCCTCAGACATTGTCACGGTCTGCCACATCAACTCTTAGCTGCTCGGACCCTCCTCAAGAAGACAACAATCTTCAAGGTGTCGTTCTAGTACACTTAGTAAACAAACAAACAAAAAAAGAAAACAAGAGCAATACAAATTTGGCCTACCTGCACAGGTGGTTGACACAGATGGAGACTTTTTATTTTTAATGTGAGCAAAATGGTTATCAACAAATTGCATGTTTTTTCTAAAAACCATTTTAGAGAGAGAAAAAAAAGGCCTTTGAAAAAATTTTTCCATTACAGCATGTGGAAGTGTTTTCAATTATGTTCACACTCAGTTAAAAAGGGAAACATTTGAAGATGTGCACAAAAAATGTTTAATAAAGACAATGTAATTGATTTAATGTCAGTGTTGGATCTGCATCAGCTCGGCAGACTAAAGACTCTTTGTCAGCTTATTATTATTTTTGCATCTCTGTCACTAGTTCTTCGTATGAAAAGTAAAAAAAAAAAAAGCATTTAGGTTAGATTAGGTCTCAAACATAGAGCCTAAAATGTCCAAACTCACTGACATGTTAACATGATGACTTTGCTTAAGTAATGGTTGATTTTCAATCAAATTACGGGTTTTGTCTTCAACTCTCCGGCATTGGTCAAAGGTTTGTTCTTAGATTAATCAAAATAAATGACAGTGTTGATGTTAACAGTGTAAAGGAAATTATTTCGTGGATAGGAAGACACTGCTTAATTCTATCTCTTGTCATTTTATTTATTCTACAAATTTTCCCCATTATCCCATTAAAATGTCATAGTTATTAGTTATGTAATTAAAATAATACAAATAATAACCTGACATGTTTTATTTAATATAATTCATACCGTGAATTATTCCAAATTTGTTTGAAAGTATACACAAACATAGACATATTTTCTTTGCACATTGACACACACATGCAGCCTTGTACGCACGCTGGTGAGATCAGAGAGCAACAGGAAGCAAATATAATCTAATAGGAGAGGCTGTTTGAGCTGCACACAACATCTCCCCTGGCCACACTTACTGTGAAATCTCCATGAGCTTTAAAGTCACTCTGTGTGTTTTTTTTTTTTTACTGACATGCAGGAAAAAGAAAAAAAAAAAGTGGCCAAATCCTTTGCCAGCAGTGATTTGAGTTAACATGCTGGTTGTGAGTCACATCAAGGTGAAACACCTGAGTGAAGTTGGCCCCCCCACCTTCTTCAAATCAGACAAAAATGGTGTCAAACGTTTGTGCTGCGTTTGTGCTGGTTTGTGCAGCAAAAATTTTCGTTTGTGCTGCTATCATTTGAAAGATATAACGAAATGTTTTTAGAGGTCATCAAAGGTCAACCAGCCCCCCCACCTTCTTCAAATCAGACAAAATAGGTGTCAATCAACTCGGCTGCGTTTGTGCAGGTTTGTGCAGCAAAATTTTTTGTTTGTGCTACTTTGGCTTTGAAGATATTGATGAAAAGGTAAAGGTCAAAAGGTCAACCAGCCCCCCCACCTACTTCAAATCAGACAAAATTGGTGTCAAACGTTTGTGCTGCGTTTGTGCTGGTTTGTGCAGCAAAAATTTTTGTTTGTGCAGCTATCATTTGAAAGATATAAAGAAATGTTTTTAGAGGTCATCAAAGGTCAACCAGCCCCCCCACCTTCTTCGAATCAGACAAAATAGGTGTCAATCAACTTGGCTGCGTTTGTGCAGGTTTGTGCAGCAAAAATTTTCGTTTGTGCTGCTTTGGCTTTGAAGATATTAATAAAAGGTTAAAGGTCAAAAGGTCATCCAGTCCCCCCACCTACTTCGAATCAGACGAAATAGGTGTCAATCAACTCGGCTACGTTTGTGCTGGTTTGTGCAGCAAACATTTTTGTTTGTGCTGGTATCATTCTGAAGATATTAAGAAAAATGTTCTCCAGGGGTCATCAGAGGTCAACCACTCCCCTGGCCCCACTCACATTTGGAAACATAAATAAATTTGGTGTCAACCAACTGTGCTATGTTTGTGCAGGTTTGTGCAGGAATTTTTTTTCATTTATACTGCTATTACAAATTATAGAACTATAAAATATTATGAGTTATATAAATAATAAGGTCATCAAAGGTCAACCAGCTCCCCTAACTTCTTCGAATCAGGTAAAATGGGCGTTAATAGACTTGACTACATTTGTTCAGCAAAAATGTTTGTTTGTACAGCTATCATTTTAAAGTTATTAAAAGAAAAGTGTCTAGAGGTCATCAAAGGTCAGCCAGCCCCCCCACCTTCTTCGTATCAGACAAATAGGTGTCAATCAACTCGGCTGCATTTGTGCTGGTTTGTGCAACAAAAATTTTTGTTTGTGCTGCTTTTGCTATGAATCTTACATACTGCAGGCCCAAGTGGACAAACTTACCTTGATGCACTGCTATGAAGTATTGAAAAGAAGTGCTGATGATTGCTGTCGATAATAACATTAACATTGACCTCAAAAAGGCTGAGTACATGCTAAGCACATGTTCTGTTCTTATTTTTTGTATTTCAAAAGTACAGTTTGTCTAATAGCACCCTCTAGTGATGAGAAGCTAAGATACAGGTCACCGAGATTGTTTTGGGAGGTGATGTACCAAACTATTCATTTTAGATGAGACCTAATTTGAATTGAATTTCGTCCATGTTAAAAGTAAATTCTTTATGTTCATGTGTTAGCAACTTACACGGCAATTTAAATGAAATTGACAGTTTCAGCATGAACAGATGTTCATTGACCTTTTAAAGCAAAACTAGCAAAAAATTTAAACTATAATGGATATCTTCAAAGCAAAAGCAGCACAAACGAAAATTTTTGCTGCACAAACCTGCACAAACGCAGCCAAGTTGATTGACACCTATTTTGTCTGATTCGAAGAAGGTGGGGGGGCTGGTTGACCTTTGATGACCTCTAAAAACATTTCTTTATATCTTTCAAATGATAGCTGCACAAACAAAAATTTTTGCTGCACAAACCAGCACAAACGCAGCACAAACGTTTGACACCAATTTTGTCTGATTTGAAGTAGGTGGGGGGGCTGGTTGACCTTTTGACCTTTACCTTTTCATCAATATCTTCAAAGCCAAAGTAGCACAAACAAAAAATTTTGCTGCACAAACCTGCACAAACGCAGCCGAGTTGATTGACACCTATTTTGTCTGATTTGAAGAAGGTGGGGGGGCTGGTTGACCTTTGATGACCTCTAAAAACATTTCGTTATATCTTTCAAATGATAGCAGCACAAACGAAAATTTTTGCTGCACAAACCAGCAAAACGCAGCACAAACGTTTGACACCATTTTTGTCTGATTTGAAGAAGGTGGGGGGGCCAACTTCACTCAGGTGAGTGAAACTAGTTGGATTTGACTCACACAGACACTCATAAACTGTCAACAACAGAGAGGCTTTATTTACTGCAGAGACACAAGTTGAGCCTGGATGATAAAAGCAGAAAACAACCCTGAACACACACAACACACAGAACCAACACAGATATGGACAATATATGGTGTGTAAAAGATTATCCAGGACTTCAGACGTTCAGGGCTCCCTTTGATGCCTGACCTACTTTATGTCCGTTAGTTCGGCAACTTAGTTTGGCACAACTTCAAACCTCTGTAATAATAAAAAAAAACATTTCATAACACATCCTAAAACACAGTGTCAAGTTATTCATTTATTCATTAGAGGTAACAATAGCAAGGTGGAAGTTGTTATGCACATATTCCGTATCTGCGATGATCTCTGAGTGGTGTTTGCACTGCCTGTGTGCCCTTCAGCAATCCTTTTGACTTGACTTTATGATTTATGAGGGGTGGCCATGTTGACTCTTTGGTGCCCGCGTCTCAAAGAACTTCTCTCATAGTGTGAATCATGAGGAGGAACTTTTTATTATTTTTTTTTATCTGCAATTTGTTCCTAAATGATTTAATCAACAAACTAAAATATAAAATTATGTTCTTAGGGATCTAAAAGTAAACAAGTGAACTTATTTGGCTCCATAAATACATAAAAGCTGTAAAGCAGATTATTATTCAAATAGGAATACATTATCTTAAATAAATGTCATCAGAGCTGAACCAATTAGACAGATAGAGAAATAATTAAGTTTTTAAGATTTTGTACCTGGAGTAAAGAAGATTATATTGCAACATTGAAGCAACCTGTCAAGACATCAGCCAGGATGTTGAGGATGGCTCTTCATCATGAACAATTAATTACTCCAGTACAATAATACCAAGTTAGAAAGCAGCTCAAAGAAAACTAAATCTATCTCTACAAGTGGCCGTCACAAAGCCCTGATAAAATCTGAGGGCGAAGCAAAAAACGGTGCTTAGAAACAAACTTGATCAGTTCTGTTATGAGAGATGAGGCCACGCTTCTTCAAACTGTTCTGAGAGACTTTTGGAGATGCTGTTTTCATTTTCCACTAGGACTTGGCACCTGCTCCCTTTGCCAAAAACTACCTGCTTCAATGCCCTTGTGCCTGACTGGCCTAACAAACTCACTTGACCCTCAAACCACAGAGGAACCGTGGAGAAGAGGAGGAACACAAGAGACACATTCAGCAGGTTGACGTCTTCTCTATTAAAAGTCTTGTTCTGTTACATTGATATTAACGGAAATGACCCTGAAATTAATCACAGGGTACCATTTGGGTTTTTGGTGTTGCAGTTGAAGAAATGAACTGTTCGGTGATGTCCCGAACAGTTCTCCTTGTTGCGTTACGGTTGTCTCCTGTGAAAGTTGTCTCCTCTTGTCTCGGGGTGGGCGGGTTTTCCGCCAGCAGGGTTTGGTTGATTCTGTATTGATTTGTTGGGAGAGCCGGAGGGGAGGAAGAGAAGGAGGAGAAAGTGAAAGGGGAGTGAAGAGAGTGGAGGAGAAATCCCTGTTTGATGAGGGGAGGGAGAGATGTGATTGTTGGGTGTCGGAGAGGAGAGAGAGCGATCATAATCAGAGACAAAGTCGGAGCCAGCGAGCGCTCCGAAAACACGTGGAAGCTCGGAGAAAAGTAAAAGTGTCGTCGGAGGAAAGTGACTTCGCACTTTGTTTTCTTTCTTTCCTTTTTTTCCTCCTTCAGCCTTCTCCTTTTCCTCCTCCTCCTCCTCCGCCCTGCATTCCGCGGAGCAGCTGCGCTTTAATGCCCCTACGCACCAGCGAAGGAGAGGACTCAGACAAGAGTGAGGAAGAAGAGGCAGAAGAGGAGGCGAAGAGGCCTGGACACCACCCGTCCCCGCTCCCTGGGACTCTGTCCACTCTCCCCTCCTGGCCCTGCATGGACGGGGATGGGGAGAGCCGGATGCTGTTACCGCGGGGCTGAGCGCCTCGCTTCCCCGTCTGCGGCGCGCCGCTTCCGGCCGCTGCTGCTGCTGATCGTCGGTCTCTGCTGCGGCGCTCACTTAGGTAACTGACCCTCTCCGAGCTTTAGGTCAAACCCGCGCCGAATCTTGTCATTTCACACCCCACATGCGCACTTCGCTGTTTTTGTAGGCGACTTCACGTCATAGCACTTCGTTTCACTCCGTGCTTCATTAAGACTTCCGGTAATCTGTGAGTTATTAAGTGTTTGTAAGCGCTGTGCGTCGGGGCCCAGCACAACTACTGCCTGACAAAGGCTCTCTCCAAAGCGGCAGTGCAGCAGTCTGAGCCCGGATCGAGTTTCTCCTCCTCTCTCCTGGGCCGTCATTCTCCTGTCTACCCCTTAATGGCTCATGGAGGAGGGGAAGAGAGGGCTGCTACCTCTACTGCTGCCCATGCATAACAGATGTATTGAAATCCAAGTTAACACTCAGTCTGCAGTGTTGCTGGACACAAAACGAAAACACAGCAAAGTGGTGTTTAATTCTAGATTGGAGAAGAAAGCATAAAAAGTAATCAAAGGTTCATTTAGTTTCTCCTTATTATATTTAAAGTTAATCTTTGACTGTAGAAAGTGTTTAATTTGCACATATTTGAGCTCAGAATCGAGTGTTCGCCACAATCTTGCCTTTTGCCCTGGATTTTAATCTGTGTGTGTGCAGAGATTGTTTTGGCTATTTTATGGCCAATCACACCTCCTGCATATAGTTTAACACTCCTCGGCAGCGGGACAATCCCCCACTCTCTCTCTCTGCACACACACTCAGCCCTGTGGAGCCCACAGAGCCCAGCTTGCTTGAAAACCCTCTCGGCACCTCCTGCCGCACATGCCTCACCAGGAAAGAATGTGTATTATTTGGTTTAGCGAGACAAACAGAGCGGTTTATTTGCTAAAAGGTGTGAATAATGTTTTGTTTGTGCTGTTTTCGTCGAGACATATGTCATCGGCTGACAGCTGTGCGAGTGTTTGCACAGGAAAGCAATGAACGTCTGGATTAGTGGGAGCTTTTGTTGGCGGGGTTTAGGTGAGTGCGTGCTAGAAGAGAACGTGAGCGACTGCTCACAACAAGGTGATCAATAAGCACTTCACAAGCTGTTCCTTCAGCCAAGAGAGAATCCCAGCAGATCAGTTTTTTATCTCATCTCTGCAGCTCAGAAAAGGTTAGGAGACAAAGAACAGATAAATAAATTTAAGTCTGGGTCTCCTGACCTCTGTCTGATGGTGGAGAAGCGGCCTCGGGATGCAGGGAGCTGGTGACCTGCAGCCGGGCCAAGTGCAATAATAGAAAACATAAAGAAGAAAATTGAAAATAATAGAAATATAGAGATATGGGTATCATTCTGCAGAAGGTTCTGACTCCTATTGTGCCTTTGTTAGAAACTGTGTTGCAGGAGGATAATACGAACAAGCCTCTGAACACATGAGATCCTTACATGGTTTCTTTATTCTCCTCTTAATAACATTTCTAAGCCTTTTCAGTATTCACCACCTTTACTGGCTTTGGCGTAAGTTCCCTATTTATATGCATAGATTGGCTTTTCTTTTGAAAGAACCGCTATGAATACCTAATAAGATTACGAGAATCCCCTGAGAGCAAAGATAAGATAATTCTCTTTAATAAGTAACCATAGATAGACGGAACATATTTAATTATCACATGAAAATCTCCTTATGGAAATCCAACGACGGCGCTTCAGTGACTCATTTGAAACTGGTGCAAACTTTTCTGGAGAGGCTTCATGTCTGTTTCAATCTTTGAAACAGACATGTTTCAAAGATTGAGTTAATGGAATAAACAATAAAAGATTATTTTCCCTTCAGTTTAAATGTAATAATGTAAAATTATGGTTCCAGAGTAAAGTTTGGAAGTGTTTTTTATTAAGATTTACAGTAGAAAAATGTTTGGAGTTGATTAGTCAGGCTTACCACACCTGACTTTAAATGCTGTGGTTTTTAATAAACCTGGACATGGTCGTTTTCAGGTCTAAAAGCTACACAAAACACGTCTAAAGGCAGAAGTTTGAGCTGCAGAACAAGCGGCCTTCTTTGCCGGAAAAAACGCTTTAGCGTTCATTTATCAGATCTTCCAAACCTTAAACCATCTGAATGAGACTGAACTCCGTCGCCCTGGACCCCTTGCGGGTGCTGCAGGTCTGATAGGAGGAAAAAGAAGGCAGGCAGGCGTTTGGGCAGACACAATGCAGCCTCAGTGCTCAGACGGTCTGTGCAGTCTGTGCGTGTACGTGCGGGCATATCTCAGGGTTGGTGTCGGTATTTAACAGGCAGGGGAGAGATTCTGAAGCCTGCTGTGAGTGGGGGCTCTGCATCTGTACTCTTGATTTTAAATCGCTTAAACTCGGAGCAGCACTGCCCTCACATGGTGGGACACAAGTGCTTCACACGTCCACAATCTGTGGAGATTGTGGATTTTTCTACTTATGAGGAATAATATCTGTGTGGAACTGATAAAGGGTGCCTATTTTTGCCTGTTTTTTTTCTTCCTTTGCTCAGATATCAGAGTCATACCACCATTTTTTTTTTTTTCTGATCACTGCTTGTGTTTGTGTGCAGCCGGCCCCCTCTCTCGCCTCCCTCTCCCTCTCTTTCTCCCCGGGCTAATCTAATAGGAGCACGCCGTGACTGATGCATTAGGTCTGGTCTCTAATCTCTCTCTGGCTCTAACTCTCTCTGTACATCTGATGATCAGCGATACAAAAGGCTGTTTTGACCCCCGTTCCACTTGGAAATGTGGAAACAGATATAAAATCATGGACAATTTCAGACCAAGAAATCAGTTCCCGGTGGTGTGATGGTGAATTTTTGATCATGTGTTTATTCTTTTTAAAGTGAGGGTTGCAAACACACAACTTATCAAAGTTTCAATAAATTATGACAATACATGGCATTCATTCCGCTTGAACGTTTTTGCAATTTGTCACGTTATGGCCACAAACTTGAGTGTTTTATTGGAATATTTATGTGGCTGGCCAGCACAAATTAGCACCTAAATTGTACAGAAGAAGGAAAATGATACAACTATTAAACTTATATGGTGTATCTTCACATATACTATAAAACTGGCCCATATTTTTCAGATTTCTGTTGAAAAGTTGTCCAAAATCTACATGACTGATGAACATATGGGCTCAAATAAATTCCTTTTGAGTTTCTAAATGATGGACAATCACCACCTATGCTTGAATAATCTCAAGTTTTCTGCAGTAGTCTGAATTAGACTTAGGTCTAGGCTTTGATTATGCCATTCTAACCCTGTATGTTTAGTGCCAGTGTAAGGTGAACTCGATGGTATCCTTCCCAGATTAGTTAATTCAAGCTCCTATCAACTTGCTGAATGTCTCCCGACAGCATAATCCTCCCTCCTCCATGTTACAAGATGGCAATGATGTGTTTAAGGTGATGTTCAGTGTTGGGCCCGAGGTCGGTAAACTCCATTTCTGTCTCCTTTGATAAGAGCACTGTTGTTAGAACTTAGCCTAGCGCAAAGTTCAAAACTGATTTTTTATTGCTTTCTTTTAACATCTGTCATTTTCAAACTCCTACTTATGGCTCTGTTTATGAAGTTCATAACCAATAGTCGTTCCTACTTGAGCTGAAGATCTCTGCAGCTCTTCCAGAGTTGCCGTAGGTTTCTTAGCTGCATGGTCTCCTGTCAGATTTTTATTTGTAAATAGTTTACAGAAATTATTTTTCTTTCTTTCCCACACTCAAAAGAAAACACTTTTTTTTGTTGTTCTATCATATTTACATTACAATTTATGGTTAGTGTGACAAAATGTGCAAAAAGTTCTGGGGTTAGGAATATTTTTGCAAAGCTTTGTACATGCATCATACCAACTCTTTTCTGCTCCATCTCTCTGAGAAACTGTTTTAAACGCTTCTTGGCTCTCCAGGCAGTATTATCTCACTACTGGAATGAAGTTGCTTCATCGTTCCTGTCTGGGCGCTCTTTGGTTTATTACACTTCAGGTTTATTGCACTCACAAAGCGGCAGTGCTGATTGATCAAGACTTTTAATTGGCTGCTGGTTCTTTTTCTTCTTTTATTGGGTTGGACTGTAACACTGTAGAGCATTGCGAGTCTAAGATCAAAGACTCAGACATGTATGGTTGGCTCGCTAATGCAACCATATTCATTTTGTATTTCAAAGGGTACCTCTGACTCTCTTTGTTTGTCCCGTTCAGGTCAGTGTCAAGTGGCTACCCCCCAGTGTCGGATCCAGAAGTGCACCACCGACTTTGTGTCCCTGACCTCCCACCTGACGCCCGCTGTGGATGGCTTTGATACCGAGTTCTGCAAGGCTCTTCGCGCGTACTCAGCCTGCACCCAAAGGACAGCCAAAGCCTGCCGGGGAAACCTGGTTTTCCATTCTGCCCTCCTGGGCATCTCAGACCTCATGAGTCAGAGGAGCTGCTCCAGAGATGGTCCAACTCCCTCAGCGCACCCCGAGATTCTTCTGGAGCCCTGCAACTATCACAGCCGCACCCAGCACACCCACACACACTCCCACTCCCACACCCACTCTCACGGCCATGGTCACAGCCGCTCTCGGCCCGGGTACTTGTTCTGTGGGCTGTTTGGAGACCCGCATCTGAGAACGTTTAAGGACAGCTTCCAGACCTGTAAGGTGGAGGGTGCGTGGCCTCTTATTGATAATGACTATCTGTCAGTTCAGGTCACTAATGTTCCTGTGGTTCCTGGCTCCAGTGCAACTGCAACCAACAAGGTGAGAAACTGACTTGTGTGTTTTTCTTCAGATTTTTTTGTTCCTTTGACCATTAAATGTTAGATAGTTCTGATTTCTCCAGCAAATTTTTGTTCCAGCCTTCCTGCCATCAGCATTAATTATTTATATCGGGAGCAGACACAGTGTCACACTTTTTGCCGGAGACAACAGTTTTGTAAAAGAGTGCTAACAAATATTTGACGACAAAGACAAAGTGATTACAGGGTTAGTATTTCAAATTGTGTTTAGCATCTTCTGCTAGCACTGCGATATTAGCTACGGCTCCAAAAAGGGCTCCAACATTTCCAAGTGTTGTATAAACAGACTCCCTTAGCCTAGCTTGATGTTGAAATAAAAAAAGATAAACAGAGCAACTTTTTCATAACACAATTTACTTCTATTCTTGTTCACTCTTTAGTTCTCTAGCAACCTAAATGAGCTTCAACTTCCTTTAAATTAGCATCTTACATCTTTGTCTTAATATTGAAAATGGGTAAATTTGAGTGTTCTCCCCTCAGTAGCAGTGCCCACACTGAAGAGTACATAATAGAGTCTGTTAGAAAAAGATGGGATTTTTTTATTTCCAGCTCAAACCTAATTCTATGCATCTGTAATATCCTGGTATTTAGAGAAAAAAAATACTAAGAAAGTGAGGCTGACATCGTTTTTTTCTCGGTGTGTTTCTTTTTATTTGTCATGTTTCTTTGCCACACAATAAGAAATCTTATCAGTGGGAAACCAGAAAACACCCTTGCTCTACTTAGCTCTCTTCCAGACTCCCTTTGTGTGTCTCTGGCTTTCATAGGCACACAGGTGCAAAGCAAATGGCCTCGATCTTGTGACCGCCTCTTGTGACTGCAGCAGTGCAGCAAACCTAACTTGGTTAACGGCTGCATATAGCCTGACCGCTAATTTGGCGGAATGAGATGCGTGAAAGGAGCCACTGTTTACTTACAAGCGCATTTGGAAGCATTTGTGTGTCTATGTAAGGAAATACGGGCTCTATAAGTTCATAAGTAGCACTTCTTGCAGTCAGCAGTCAGCTCTGTGTGTGTTAAAAGGTCTCTGTGCAACAGCAAAGATTTACGTACACACGTCTGTGCACAGCACTGCACGGAGGAGGAGCTGCACAAGGTGATCTTTGTGGTGTTAAAGAAGCAATGTTGATGTTTCCCCTGATGATTTGCCCTCTCTAGCTTAGTGGATAGCTTTAATTATTAAAGCACACGCGCGCACACTTATTCGCCAACAGCGTGGCACACACTCGGCTATGCAGAGAGAGCAAAACCAGGTTTTCTACACTTCGCAGCTAAAGGTTTGACCTTGTGTCAGAGGTGGGGCGAGTTATTAGTCACGACTATTAGACTCGCACACACACACACAAACACACACTTTCACATGCACCCACATCAACAGCCCTCCAGGCTTAATGGGCGGCCAGGCCTCATTCCTCACGGCTGTCATGTGAACAAAGCAGCCATTCACCGGAACTATGATGCCGGAGCTAACCGTAATGCGCACACACCACACCCAGTATCCACCGCTGTGTCTGCACGCCCCTGGAGTGTGTGTGTTCATGTGTCAGCATGTTTTCATAGCTGTGTCAAATTACAACTTGTTAGATACTCATCACGTCGCTCCTGAAATATTGTGAGATGATCGTGGCTCGCTGCCTATGGATTCGTTTTTCCTCAGTTGAGTGATCAATGCCAAATCGAACCCAACATTTAGAATATTTTTAGGTTTTGATTTGATTAGTTCAAAAATATTTTAAACTAATTTTATTCTGTTAAAAACTAATAAACAGACACAATCAAAAAAATGAAAGAAAGACTTAGCAAATTTGTACCAAATAAATTTTTGACAGTAAGAATTTACAGTAACAAATTCTTTGACCTGATTCATGTTTATATTAAACAGGAAATTTAAGACTTTTCTTCAGCTTGATGTCAATCGCTGCCAAGCTGGACGAGCTCAGGGCATTTTGACCTTTGACCATTTTGTATGTATGTTCTGCTATTTCACTGCTCTCTACTTCCATTTTGTGTCTGTGAGCCTCTGCTAATTTTTTATTTTAGTTACACATTTTCAGGAATTACAGAGTAAAATTGTGACTACAATGCTCAGTCTCAACACTCTCTAATCCTATTCATTTTAACAGATTATGACCCCCGATCAAACCAAACTCTAAACAATCTACTGCTCATTGACATCATTTTCTTGTGGCAAACATCCGCGTTTTCCAGTTGAAGCCTTTGAGTAAATTACAGGAAATCAGTAAATCTGGTACAATATGCCTCATCTGTTGGATTCAATTACCGGTAACTTGGTTGGTGAAAAAGAACCAAAAAACATGTGGAAAAACGGAAACAGTTGAAATGACCTTTGGGTGGCATTTATCGTATTGTAGCATATCATAGCGTATGATATTGTTTCATATCGCATCGTTTATCATTTATGAACTTTTTTTTTTTTTTACCATGGAGACAATTAAGGTTTATTGTTGTCATGATGAATTTCAAATAAGAATGGTAAATGGAATAAATAAAAAACTAAGAGTATGATAGAAAATATTATTTTTTACCATTTTCTCCGCTATTAGTTCCATGAGAGTATCAATATGTCCGATATTATGGATAAATGCAGTTTCTGTGTGGAGTTCACTGATATAAAACATACTTTTTACAGCATCTGGCGTCCAGAGGAAGCCTATTTCAAACGCAAATATTTTTCAAATACATTAGTGTTTGTGCTGCTTTAATCCTGTGCCATGCCGTCACAGAAATACAGTTCTAAGTAATAAATAAATAATATTTTTTAAATCTTTATCACTATCAGAATAGTATCACAAAATATTGTGATAATATTCTAAATCCTTATTGCCTTCCTGCTCCCAACCACTGCTGTTGCAGAGCAGGTGGCCTTACCAGAGAACTCAGCTTAGTTACCAGTCACATTGTAGAATGATTTGACAGGAATGACTCCTTCTCATATTTGTCCCTCTGATTCTGAATCTTGACAATGCAAACTATTTCCCTCCTGTTTCTCACTGTAGATCACCATCATCTTCAAGCCTTATGAGGGCTGCACAGACCAGAGGGTCTACCAGGCCGTCACAGACAGCCTCCCTGCTGCCTTTGACGATGGAACGGTGAGCAGCGGAGACCCCATCCACACCTCCTTCGGGGCTGACGGTGTGGCCGGGAAGGTCCGGGCTCTGTGGATCTCTGAACGCAGCCCTGGGCGTCACGTGGAGCTGCATGCCGGCTACATTGGTGTGACTGTAATCATTCGCCAGCTCGGGCGCTACCTGACATTGGCCGTGCGGATCCCAGAGGAGCTGGCTCAGGCCTACGACGACACCCAGGACCTGCAGCTCTGCCTGAACGGCTGCCCCAGCAGCGAGCGCATCGACCAGGCAGGACACCTCCCTTTGCCGCTTTCTCCACCTGCATTCGGCCTGCAGCAACAGCAGCTGCACCGGCCCAGCTACGCTTCACAGACCCAAGCATACCCCCATGGTGCCACACATGTTTTTGCCTTGGACGGGGCAAAGGAGCGCTGCAGCGAGCAGCTGGAAGTCCTGGACATTTACTTCCACTCTTGTGTGTTTGATCTCCTGACGACTGGAGATGCTAACTTCACATTAGCTGCACACAGCGCCCAGAAGGACATGGAGAGCCTTCATCCCCACCGGGACAGATGGAGGATATACCCCCGCGGCTCTGCAGCCTCTTACTTCCACTCAGACTCTCAGCTTATCAAAAAGCTCGCTCTGCTCCTGCTGTGTGCGCTGAGCATTGTATTCATGTGAGAATGGCAGTTCCTGTGAGCCTGAATGCATGTAGGCCCGAGTATGTACACTACAAAAGGAGCTTAGAGAGGATTTGGTGAGCTGAGCACTGATACTGAGCACTGACACAGAAAAAAGCAGCACGGGGAAGCCTGGCAGTACTACCTGCACTTCACCTGGCAGAGTCCGAATCATCGAATGCAACTGACAATGAGAAAAACGTTTCTGTGTGGGTGAATCATCTGTAAATAGTTAATTTTTCTTCCTTAAGTGCACAGTGTGATCGTGTATAGACTGTTTTGTTTATGTAATTTTATGTGACCTTTTTTTTTTAAATACCTCAGTCAGAGGAGGTTTGTTTTTAACCAAAGCACTTTATTTTAACATTTTTTACACAATGCCAGTCAGTGTTTGTTTTCTTTTTCACTGAGAACCAATAACTATTCAAGTATTGGTTGTTTCTTTTTTGGTTTGATTTTTTTTTCTTTTTTTGGCTCCTCTCAGAATGAATTGAATTGAAGGAGCTGCCAATGATGCTAAAATGAACCATTCTTCCAGCAGCTGATCTTGGTCAGTCGGCATCTCATCTAAAGTCATTTAATGTGAGCTTTTCTGTTGAATGTATTAGGTCTGTTGTTGCAGCAAATACCATCAGTACTACTTGTTTGTTATTTGATCCCAGCTGTGTATGTGTGTGCTTGTGTGTGTGTTTTTTTTTGTTTAATCGCACTACATAAAACAGCTTGTACTTTCCTGTAAGTAAGAACTTACCTTTCAGAACTTTCTTGGAACTTGTCTAGCACTTTCCCAAAAACTTTCCAAGAACTCAAAGTGTACTTTCTGGAACTTATTAAGTACCTATCTTCAAATTTCTTTTAGGATTCCAAGGATTTACCTGATACTTTCCTGCAATTTCCTCTTGCAAGTTTTTTTTCTGAAACTTACTTTTACAACTTAGCTATATTATGAGGAGACTTATTGGTGTTCTCCACAAAACATCCAGAGTAAGTTTCAGAAAGCAGGCTAAGTGATGCTCGGGGTACTTGATAGATTCCTGGAAAGGAACCAGTAAGATTATTAATAGTTCCAGTAAAGGCCCTATCATGTACCAGAGATTGACATTTGTCACAGGAAAATACAGACTGCATTATGGTGCACTGCACGTTTTTGTTATGATTTTTACCAAAGACAAATGGCATTTTATATGTACACATGAATCATGACTCCCCACCAAACCAGCACCTTCATCCCCTCTCTTTCTAAAACTTGGTAAACCAGTTTATACAAGATGCTTCATATTGGGATAAAAGCAAAATACTGGAGGTATTTCAAGGATCTTCAGATCATGAAATGTGTCTGTGTAAGCACTGTGATGTGCGAATCAATGCCTTGTAGAATTTTCTGCCCCATCGAAAATTTAACATTCTGTATATTTATTCCCAGTTTGTTCAGTCTGCTTTAGTTTTAGCCATTGTGTGAACTCCTTTCTTCATGTGAGTGTCGGTTTGGTGAAGAGTGACTGGTCAGTGTTGAAATACCTTAACTTATTTATGAACGTAGTGTCCTGTAGAGGATGTTAAGCTCCATATTCTTGATGTTGGATAATTATTTAAATAAAATGTCAGATGTGATTGTGCTGCCACCTAGTGGTACTCCCTTGCTACGTCAGTGTGTTACTAAGAGCGCTCAAAAAACTAAAAGAAAGGAAGAAACAATGTGTGCTGGTCTTTTATTTAAATATGATACAGTCAAAACAGTCATGCATTATTTAATATATATAAATTTGAACAATAAAATCAGTAGCAGAAGGCTGCTGAACTGGTTGTTAATGTCAAAATAAACAAAACTTCTGCAGTCCATCAGGTAAATGTGACATATTTAGATTTAATTGCCAGTTTCTTCTGCAGTCCTGGAAGAGTAATTATCTAAAACACATTTTAAAAGTTAAGTCACTGTTCATTAAACTGCAAGATATTGAATAAAACGGAATTACACAAAACTTAAAAATGATCAAGGAACACATACTAGACTAAGTCCAAAGTTATTTTCTTGAGTGGGATCTTACAGTCTAAGATCTCTACACTCTAAACTTATAGCCAGTGCTACAATAGCTTAAAACATAATCATGCTTTTGGAAAAAATGCACAAACAGTAGAGTACACCAAACATTTCAGACATATGTTTCCTGGTGTAATTTTTACAAAATATGAAAATACATTGAATTTTTTGTAATTAAAGCGTCTCAAAGTTAAACAGAAATTCCATTCATTTCTACTTATTAATTGTTAACATGTTTTTTCATATCTTGTGTCTTATTAAAACTAGACTCAGGAGCTCCACACACATCTTGAAAAGCACACAAAAAATGCAGGCATTGATCCACCTGTGTGAGGTTATGTTTTGATCAGATACCATCAGACTTGGCCTCACAGATACAGGCTCTCATTTCAACTGTCACAGTCAAAAACACCTGGGATGAGAAAAGAAAAAAAGGCGCCACTACCAATTCAAAGCAGTAAACTCCAGAGGATTACTTCTTTTGTTCCTGTAGCTTTCCCCAAAACTCCCGGTAAACTGTCTTTGTGAAGCCAGCCATAAAGAGATGGAGCGCTCCTTTCTTCTTTATGCGTAGAAATCATCTCAGAGTTGACAAAAGAAAGAGCCTCAGTTGCTCTGGTTTCTTTTCAGCATCATGTTCTGTATCCAAAGTTCTTCTTTTCCACATATCTAAAAAAAATTGGAAATATTTTTGTTGAGATTTTTTTTCTCTTCATCCTGAAAAACAAATATAATTCACACCTGGATTAGCACAGAGACTAAGTGGTTTCTCTTTATCTCTTCATAAATAAACATTCTAGGTTTTGTTGGCATTTTGAAAATTATTACAGCAGCCTTTTAGAGGCAATAAATCACTAAATTAGCCAGTAAATAACACTTAATTTCAGGTGGGTTACTGTAAAAAAACGATAAAGTTTGGCTACAGTTGAATTAAACCATTGAAACATTACATAAAAGGGCAAAACAAATTAAGATACTAATTCAGATGCTTTATTTGAATTATTTTCTAAATCGACCAGACCAAATGCAGTGGAGATACTCAATTGTTAAAATGGTCAAATGTTCATAAATGAAGCCGAAACTTTGAGATCTGCTGTTTTGATTCGCCATTGCTTTCATCTACTATGTCAAAGCAAAACTACCTGCCAGTGTCCCAGCTGCAGGAATCGGACATATTTGGATCTAACAACGTAAAAAAAAAATCAGAATAAATACATGAATGAATGGGTGCTGGGACCTTCTTGCATACAACAGAATGCACTTTTAGATTACAAAACCTGTCAAACTGATGAGTTTGGCCATTATTGAATTCACTGATTAAATTGTCTACTCTTTTACATTAAATGTGATGTACTTCTTATGAAAACTAATGTTATAGTGTCCTGTTTAGTGACTCACTCTTACCACTTAACAACAAGATAAATAGTCATTAGTGCATCAAAGACTATTATCTTCATCAGAAGGAGCCGCATATACAGCACAACCACCGCGTTCGTCCTCACAGTAACATCTGGAGATCAAACCAGACGTAAACATGTTGAATCTGCTTAGCACACCAGCAAATTATCAGTGAGAACCTTTCTCGATGTTTTACCTTCTGTCTCTTCATCACTGTCGCACATTTCATCTTCACCTTTAGGAATAAAAGATTTGGAAACTAACTCAAAGTGTTGTTGCACTAAGTTTATGACAACTCAAGAATTACCTGCTGAGGTGATGCGGTGTCTTTTTTTGGCTTTTGAGTGTTTCTTGCGGCGCACAGAGCAGCTGTAGGACGGCCAGTTGCTGGTGACAACCGTGATCATCGCCACAGCGCTGTGGCCGCGATGCTTCCTGGTTACTGCGCCGTTGTATGGCGTGATGTTGGTGTACTCCTCATCAGAGGCTGACCTCCAGCTGATCTCCAGGTGACCTCTCCTGAAGTCATTCACCACACAGACCAGCAGTGTCAGGCCAAGCCTCTCCCCGGAGAGATGGACTGGAGGGGCCAGAGAAGCCAGCACAGTGCCCTCCACCCCACCTGAGGCAGGAAAAGATCAGATAGGTCAAAAGTAAACTAAAATACAACAAGAAAGATAAAGGAAGTTTCAGGGATGAATGGCACATGCTCAAAGAATGTTCCTCAATTGCATAAATGAAGAAATTAATTAATTAATAGTTTTTGTAGAGCAAAAAACAAGGATTGACAAAGAGCCTCACAAGTGATAAAATGAGTAAATCAATCACAATAGAAGAAAAGGGGTACAGAAAAAAAAGTGAAAAATCAGTAGAAATTCAAAGCAAGAGATAAAAAAAAAACTTGCGATATTATTGGACTAAGTGAAGGTTAAATTATGATATTTTTATTTAAATAAGTAACGCTAAACACCAAGCCAAAATAAATAAGTCAGTGGCTGTTCCCCAACAATGATACCTCACCACAACTCTTTGTTCTGACTTTGGGATAACAACTCTATTAAACAAATAGAACCAAATAATCATTTTGAAAACCATTAAAACACCATTAAAAGCATCTGAAAATCTAAAAATAAGATGCACAAAACACAGTTTTGAATTAGCTAAATAATGCTGTTAATAATGTAGCATAAAATAAGCAGCAATACATATTTCTGCAAAAACACATTGTATACATAAATATATATGTTCTTGTTCACTACATAAAGAGGATAGTTAAAGGTCTTACCTGTCCATAAATATATGATGTGAAGATAAATGAGTCCCCTGGGTGGCTCAGTCATTTCTAACCTGTAGTCAATCTGACGTTTATGAGCCCTGCTCAGTTTTCTGTATGCGTGAGTTAGTGCGTGTTTGTGTGCCTTGTGAGCGCGTGCATTAAAAGAGGGCTTTGCCAGGAGCGTTGCATTGTGGGGGATTGGCATGTCTCATTGTTGTGACCTTATACTAACAATGGAAACTCCGTGCACCGTCCCAACACACCCCAACACCCACAAACACCCAGAAACACAGACCGAGGAAGGGAGAAAGACAATATAACACAAGTTAAACGTGTCACACTGCGTTAGGATTCATTAAGCTACAGCAAAGTGAGGTGAAGGCATTAGGAATAATATTGAAACACCTGGACAACCGCCTGCGTTTGGCTGTTACATCTGAGGTGAGATAATATCAGCAACACCTGCACACACACACGCATACACAGGTCTGTAAAGCAATAAGTATGAACACGTAATTAATTTGTCTATTTTCCACAATATTTTTAAACTTATAAGAAAATATTGTCGCCTATATCCTCACATCTAAAACGCCTCTGTCTCTTCCCTCTCACAACCACACACTCATATAAGCGGTTCTTTTATTTTCAGTGGGCGGCATTTTAGAAGAGAAAGTGAAACTGAGCAGCAGGAGCATCAAGGAAGCATGATGAAGCTAAACTGATCGAGGTAATGCTTCTTTTTTCTTTTTAGTAATTCTACAAATCTCCTGCAGCAGGAGCAGAGTTGAGTTCTAGCTCCATCCTGAAAATGCATTCAGGCTGTGGGAATCTCAGAGGTTGTGACTGATGGCTTTAAATAGTGAGTTTGGTGCAGTGCAGCTTTAAGACTGTTTCCTGCTGTCACCTTTTTCACTCTGATCTCTGTGATCTTCTTTCTTTCTGACCACATGGCTCGTTTTTGCTCACCTGTTTGAATCTCGTAAAGAAAGAGACTAGCTGTGGTGGTCTGTATTTCAGCCGAGCTCTATGTGCCATAATTATCTGAGCATGTGCTCAGTACGGCCCAGTTATTCTTAGCAGTTTTTTTCCCCCCACCTGCTCCAAGAGAATAATTTAGTCTACTTATTTTGGGCCCTCAGAAATTTGTTTCATAGCTACACAAGTGACCAAAGTAAACAAAATATCTAATACTCATAGGTTCATGGCACCACAGTTATGTTTTGTTTATGTTTTTTGTAATGTCACTTGAAGACAAATCGGGCCAGGTCACATCCAGTCTTACACAAAAAAACAGTTTGGTACATTAAAATTGCCTAATTTATTCCAATATAATCCATTGCCATAGTCCAATTTACGATACAATCCAGGGCAGGTCATACAGTAATCTGAGGTAAATATGTGGGGACAGTGGAGAGGAACATCACCTTTTAGCAGGAAGTATTCTCCAGTAGAATAAATTTCAACACAGAGCTATGCTCTATGTCTCACAATAGACAAAAACAGAATGAGTGAATTTCTTTTGAAAGAAAGACTGTGTACAGTTAACGGCAGCAGTAGCTTTGTAAATGTCTCTGACAAGGACAGAGAGACAGCTGGACACTTAAACACTGAGCCGGGGGGGTTTTCTGCAGGAAGGAAAAACAAAATAAATTCTGTTCTTTCTTTGATGGAGCAGGAGCTCTGCCACAGTGTATCCTACTCTAGAACAGTTTGATACATTTTCCATAAACTTGTGTATAAATGTAGCTATTTATATCTTTACAATCTTAATTTCAGTTCACTGAACCTCCTCTAAAATAGTCTGACTCTGTGGGAGAAGAGAGGTTTGTAAAATTAATCAAAGTAATATATGCACAGATACCAAGAGATATATTTAACTTTGTCTTCCATTGTTTGTGTCTTTCAGGTTCAAGAGAAGAATCCCGGAGGAGTAGCCATTTTATTTTCATTTCATCAACCATTGATGTTGGGTGGTCTTTACCGTGGTTGACTCCAGTGTTCGGGTTATGATTAAATGAGTTCAGAGCTAAGTAGTCGACCTGTCGAACGGGTTGGCATCATTTTAATAAATTTAGTTCACAAACATTCCCTTAACAATGATTCCAATCAGGCTTTTAGTGCTGCTGGCTTTCAATATTCATCTGGTTGGGTCTCAGGCCTCTCAGAGCTCACAGCAGGTAGCGAGTCCCCCCAGTCCCACGGCAGAACCATCTCCTCCGGGTGATGGCAATCTGTCCTTCCCCTGGAGCCGTCTTCGCCTGCCAAGGTAGGTTCTATATTTTCTTTCACCACACTACAGAAGCAGAGGGAAAAAAACAAAATATCCGTATTTTGAGTCACTCTCTAATTGGCTGTCATGTTTCTGTGCCTCAGGTACATTGTTCCTCTTCACTACCACCTGCTTCTGCACCCCAACCTCACAGCTCTCAGCTTCACTGGCACCGTGCAGATCCAGATCGATGTCCAGAACAATACAAACTGGGTTGTATTACACAGCAAGGGTCTTCAAATCTCAAAGGCCACAATTTTAGACCAGACCCTTAATCATCTGTCTGATCAGGTAGGTGGAAATATAAGGGAGGATACATTTTATTTACTAACTCCTGTCGTCTTAACAATCTTCTGCTATTTTAGGTCCTTCCAGTTCTTCACAACCCTTCCCACGAGCAAATAGGCATTTTTTCTCCAAGGGTTCTCAGCAGCGGCCAGAAGTATTTCTTGTACATAGAGTTTGAAGCAGAGCTAGCAGATGGATTTTACGGTTTCTACAAAAGCGTCTACAAAACCAGTGAAAGCGAGACCAGGTGAGAACAGGTTTTCCGTTTCTCAGTATCGTTGGAAAACGTAGCCGGCACACACTGTCTGCAACAATCTGTTTTCAGATACCTGGCTTCCACTCACTTTGAACCCACAAGCGCCCGAATGGCATTTCCTTGTTTTGATGAACCAAGCTTCAAAGCCAATTTCTCTGTGAGGATTAGAAGGAGCCCGGAGTATATTTCTCTCTCCAACATGCCAGTAGTGAGTGCTGAATCTTTGAAAAATGTCACAGATGTTGATTGATGGAAAAAAAAGACCTCAAAGTTCTCCTGGGTTTCAGATCAAGACAGTACAACTGAATGGTGACCTTCTTGAAGATCAGTTCGCCCCGAGCGTAACGATGAGCACATACCTTGTAGCTTTCATCGTTTGTGACTTCAAGTCTGTCAGTGCAACAACTTCGTCTGGAGTGAAGGTCTTCATGATTCTATACCCTACTTCCACATTTTTTTTTTTTTTTTGCTTGAACTGTCTCAACCTTGAAATGTCTGGTTCAACAGGTTGGTTTTGATTTCATTGTAGGTTTCCATCTATGCTGTGCCTGAGAAGTGGATGCAAACCCACTATGCTTTGGAGGTTGCTGTTAAAATGCTGGACTTCTATGAGGAGTACTTCAACATTCGCTATCCATTGCCCAAACAAGGTAACCAATAATAATCCCCTTTCTTATTTGTGATCCGTTACTTTTGTTCTTTATTGCTTACTTTTTCCTCTTCCAGATCTGATTGCCATTCCAGATTTTCAGTCTGGTGCAATGGAGAACTGGGGCCTGACCACCTATAGAGAGACCAGTCTTCTCTATGATCCCCTCACATCCTCCATTTCTGATAAACTCTGGGTTACAATGGTAATTGGTCATGAACTTGCCCATCAGGTGAAACCATGAAAATGACAAAAACAAATTCAATTTAAAGTTGCTCTTTCCTTTAAGTAGTAGGGGCTTAGATTATCCATCTTATCTGCAGTGGTTTGGGAACTTGGTGACCATGGATTGGTGGAATGATATCTGGCTGAATGAAGGATTTGCCAGATACATGGAATACATTTCTGTGGAGGCCACCTACCCTGACTTCAAAGTGGTACTTATAACTTAAAGATAAATCAGTAGAAAGCCACCGAGAGGTGTTTGTGATTAATTGCTTTCTTGTTTTGGCAGGAGGAGTATCAACTGCACACATGTTTTGCAGCAGTTGGTCATGATTCCCTGAACTCCTCTCGGCCTATCTCCAGCCCAGCAGAGAACCCCACCCAGATCAAGGAGATGTTTGACACCGTGTCTTATGACAAAGTATGATCTCTGTGCATGAATAACATATTTGTCCCATATTATGTATTAAAATAGTGGCTGGTTGATATTAAAGTGACTTCTTTGTATCTTGCAACATAAAAATAATATGTTTGTAGAACATGAACAAATCATTTCATGATTGTTGGCTAAAACAAGCACTTTCTCTGTCTTCTGTCAGGGAGCATGTGTCCTGCACATGCTGCGACACTTCTTGACCAAAGAAGTGTTTCAGAGTGGGATAGTCCGATACCTCCGCAAGTACAGCTATGGAAATGCTCGCAATCAGGACTTGTGGGACAGTCTTGCCAATGTACTCTTTTATTAATCTTTTTGTATGTTTAAGGGGCCTCTTAGTGAACAAGCAGCTTTATAGAGACATGCAGTGATTGTCAAAATGAAAGGCTTGTGGGTTCTGCTATTTTTGCATTGGCAAAGTTTTATTTTATCACAAAAAGGAATAGAGGAAAGGATTTGTGTACTGCAAATTAACCTTTATTTTCTTTGCCATGCTGATGTTACAAATTTGGTTGCTTTACACCTTTCTCACAGTGTTCCTCAGCTCTTATCAGTTCGAAATTTAGGTGGTGCACTATATGCTGTCAGCATCAGTGACAATATGTACATACATTAAAGCAGTTGTGATTTAAGAATATTACATCATATAAAGTCATATATTTAAAAAAAAAATCTTTCTTTATAAATGTTTTAGACATGTTCAGAAGATGACTTCACCTCAGGCACACATTGTTACAACAGTGACCAGGCCTCCAAGAATGCAGTGAGTAAAACATCCTGATGTTATATCATTTACACAATATTGTGTTCGCTAGAACTGACAGTTTATGTCCTCCTACAGTATCTGTTTGCAGGGGAACACCTCAACCTGACAGCCATGATGAACACTTGGACTTTACAGAAAGGGATTCCTCTTGTGACTGTAACCAGGAAGGGGCCTCGACTGCTTCTTCGGCAGGATCGATTTCTGAGGACAGTTCTTCCCTCTGATCCTGAGTGGCAAGCTGTGCAACAAGGGTAACTTCATAACTAGTAGTAGCTTAATGTGCTCTTCTCAGTTTGTTTTGTAAAATGATCACAATTTGATGTTTATATGCATCTTTTTTTAATAGCTTCCTGTGGCATATTCCTCTGACATACAAGACTGATATTTCCACCACCATCCACAGACATATGATGACTTCTCCCACAGGTTGGAGATGAAAAAGTATCCAATGTCAAATTCTGTTGTTTTTAACTTTCATTTGTAATAACTCAATACTTGCTCTTTTTTATATAGACAGTGTACACATTGGAGAAGAAGCCAGCTGGGTGAAAATAAACTCAGATATGACTGGTTATTACGTGGTTCATTATGCTGATAATGGTTGGGATGTGATGGCTAAACTACTGCGGGAAAATCACACAGCTCTGAGCTACAAGGACAGGACTCACTTGATACACAATGCATTTCAGCTGGTCACGTAAGGAAGAAAGTTTGCACATTTTAAATAATAAGAATAATGTATGCTTGCAAAAAAACTAAAAGTGTTTGTTTTCTGTCATAAAGAGCTGGGCATCTCCCACTTAATAAAGCTTTGGACCTGATTGGTTATCTACAAGTTGAGAAACACACAGTGCCTCTCCTTGAAGGACTGGCTTATCTGGAAGTTTTCTACCACATTATCGAGAAGAGAGATGAGCCCATTTTAACTAAAAACCTGGAAGTAAGAAAACAACACATAAAAGTATTTCCTAAACTTTGTCATTAAACATTATGTGAATGTGACTGTTTTCCTGTCTCTGAGCAGACGTACATCCTGCAGTTTTTCCGTGCCGTCATCGACCAGCAGACATGGAGTGACAGCGGCACTGTGTCTGAGCGACGCCTGAGGTCGAAGGTCCTGTCTCTGGCTTGTCACCTGGAATACCCACCATGTCTGGAGCGTGCAAACCAACATTTCAAAGACTGGCTCCATTCCAACGGAACATTAAAGTCTGTTATAGTTGAACTACGACAAATGCTGTTCTATACACACCACTCGCTTCATTAAACATTTCTCAGTGATTTTGGTCCATATTGACATGGCACCTTATCACATTTGTGGGTTGCATATTCATGATGTGAATCTCCTTTTCCAACACTAAAGGTGCTCTATTGGAGTGAGATCTGGTGACTGCTGTGGCTCAGGAGCACAATGACCTTAATGTCATGTTGTTAGTTTGTGAGGCTTAAGGGTGGTGACATGGTGCAGTAAATGTGTTAAAAAGGTATGGGCAGCAACAATATTCAGGTTGGCAACCTTGACAGTTGACACAAGATAGAATGGAACATAGAACAACATGCTTTCATGTTCATGACAAATTACGGCTCTAAAATTGAACATTTCAGCTAAATCTAACACTCATTGGACCAGGCTTCCAATCTTTTATTGCCCAATTTTGCATATAATTGCAGCCTCAGCTTCTTCTTCTCACCTGACTGGATTTGCACCTGTTAGGCTCACAGCTTCTCAATATCCACTGCTTCTAAGGTTGATACATTTGCATTCAAATATGGTACTCTGTATATATTAGTATTAACAAGTGGCTGTTTGAGTTTCTTCTGCTTGACAATCATGTTAAATTTAAAGTCACTTCAGTCTCTAACTTAACTGTCTGTGCTTTTGTTCACTAAAGCTTACCTACAGATGTGGCAGAGACGGTGTTCTCAGTCGGAGCCCAGAATGACTATGGCTGGACTTCGCTCTTAAATGCATACAAGATTTCCCTCTCTGAAGCCCAGAAAAATAAGATCCTCTTTGCTTTGGCAACGACCAAAGACATAAACAATCTGCAAAGGTGCTGGAGGGCTTTTTCTTGCTTTGCTTTTTTAACTGTCCTGTCAACATGTGGCAGAATAACTATGCCTATCACTGTGCATCTACTTTGGTTTATATCAGTGGACTCGAACCCTGATCATCAGGGTCCATTGTCCTGCATGTCTTAGATATATTCCTGCTCCAGCACAACCGGCCTCAAATGATTGAATTACCTCGTTAATGGTGTGCCTTGTCTGCAGCAACAAGGAAACACCTAAAACCAGATTTTGAGGTTTGGTGTCCTACAGCATTTAGATGTGTTTCTGCATTAAAACAGAGCTAAACATAATATAATTAGATCGTCAGGACTCCAGAGAACCTAACTGCATGCCAAAAAGGTAATTCAGTCATTTGATTCAGGATATAGGACCTCAAGGCCTGAAGCTGAAAACCCCTGACCTAAAACATGCAAGACAGTGAGCCCTGAGGAGCAGGGTTGGGGAGCTCTGCTTTAGAATACACAAACGTTAAGTAAGGCTTGGTGTCATAAATGCTGGTCTTGTGTATATTTATTTTGCAGACTGCTGGCAATGGGTCTGGAAGGAGAAGTGATCCGATCACAGGACCTGTCTCATGTTGTTTGGATGGTGGCCCGTAATCCGAAGGGACATTATCTCGCCTGGAACTTTGTCAAACAGAACTGGGACACATTGGTTGAAAAGTCAGTACGACTCATTTTCTCTTGTTTTTTTCTAGGAGCTGCTTGTTGCCCATCAACCATTTCAGATGAATGATGTGTAAACCTATCTGCAGTACAGACCATTATTTGCTGGAGCAGACTTGAGTGTATTAGTTCTTAGTTTTTGGATTTCTGACACATTTCTCCTTTTCTTAAATACAGGTTTCAGTTAGGCTCCACATGCATCAGGACCATGATTGTTGGGACCACAGGGCAGTTTTCATCTCCAGAGGAGCTCATTCAAGTAAATTATATCTTTGTATATTATAGAATGTGGTGACTTTATTTTAAATATTATTTTTTTATTTTATTATTATTATGCAGATTTTCATATTAAATTGACTTCAAATACAAAGTAATTCCAGTTAGAGTTGTTCATTCTGTGGGAAAGCATTTACTTGGACTGATCCTTGCTGGAACTTGTTGAGCCTGTCTTGAATATAATTCTTGAACATAAATTAAGCTGAAAACTTGGTGTAAAAAATAACTTATTTAAGTAATTTGTCTCTATTTGTGTTTTGTCCCTTAGGTGCAGTTGTTTTTTGAGTCCATCAAAGAGCAGGTCTCCCAGCTGAGAGCAACACAGCTGGCCCTGGAAAATGTGCGAAAGAATATTCGCTGGGTTCAGAGGAACCTGGGAGTGCTGAGTAACTGGCTGGATGAGCAGATGAAATGACAGCTATGTGGGGAGGGGGAAAAAAGCATAAAATATTTTTGAGAATTTTTGTAAATGGGAAATTGTAAATGCCTGGAATGTTTTTGTTAGAGTAAAAGAGTTCTAAGATAGATGAAAGGCTGTGGGTATCATGAACATTTTGTTTCAAAGAGAAAGCAAAGTTTAACAATTAGACAATAAATGTATTCTCTACAACTTGGTGCATCTTTTTGTGTTGTTTTAACTGGGTTGATTTTTTTAAAAGCAAAGGCACTCAAATTAAAGATGAAAACTATAAAAATAGTTATACTGAAAAACATATTAGCCTAAAATAGGAATGATATCAATTTATGTTCTGCTCAAAGATGAAAAATGATCAAATTTATGTTAACTTAAGCATAAACAAGTGTAAAAACTATATTCTGTATTGAGCTTTAGTTTTGACAGTTACCTAGTAAACAAACCTGCCTGCCACGAGAGGTAGATTGTTGCATAGTTTTGGTGCAAATGGATTGTAACTCACTGCAGATGCTAACCAAATACAGTAACTCTGGTACATCTGTATGTATGTCGCTCTAGCTCCGCCCCCTGATAATATCATCCAATTAGATTTTATTCCTGCAACTTGACGGAACGTTGTCAACAACTGGTCAGGACAGGAGGAAAACTCTCGTTTAATCCAATTGTAGCGAGCCTAACACGTTGAACTGAGGTTTGTTTTTGCGTTTTAAGTAGCTAAATACGACGACAACTCTATTCTGCTTACCCGTTTTTCTGAAACAGCCAACCATGAGGGGTAAAGTTGGGAGCGGCTAACATTAGCCGTCTGAATGCTGTTGAGCTTGTGACAGTGGGGGGAGGCTGCTGATATTGACTGTGAACCTGCGGTGGGTTGTGGCTAGCCAGAAAACATCGCCTCGGTCGGAACGTCCTTGGACGTCCAGAGTTTTCCCAGTTATTTCCGGACAAGAGGGAGTCTCTCGGGATAAATCACCATGGATTTGTTTGACAGTAACACTGCAGGTAAGAACGGAAGACGGTGAGTAGCGGTGTGTTTAGCTACCAGCAGCAGGCCAGCTAATGACTGTCGGGTCAGTGTGTTGCGGTGACACGATGACAGCCGCATTGACTGAGTTCGCTGGATGCTAAGCAGACATATTTAAATAACGACGTTGTGATTAGGATTTATAAGGTAGCTTATTGAACAAAAAGCAGAGACTTGTTTTCCTGTTCAAAGTGAAAGCACTGCTGCGGTGTTTCCTCACGTATCCACTCAGGTTGAAGCCTATTATAACTGGAAATGTTCTGTAAAGAGTTACAACAGATTTTCAAACCACTTATATTGTCCCTGGGCGTTATTAAAGCAAACTGTACATCATAAAGCAAACTGTGAAGCCATCAAATCACAACAGTTCAACTTCCCTATTTTGTTTATCTCTAACAGATCTTAGTTGTGAGTTTCTCTTTTTGGTTTTGTTAAGACAAGAGTGAACTTGTATTTCACAATCAGATTTTTGATCAGTGAAAGAATGTCAATGCAAAACCCTTATCTATATGTCTTTGCTCTGCAGCGATGTAGGGTTAATCTTGTGTGCTCAAGAGCTGAACATAGGAACAAACTGCAGCTACTGGTCCATATGTAACTGTGGGTTATTGCAAAAGTAGCCACACCCTTCAAGGTTTTCCACATTTTGTCTCTTTAAAACCATTTTTAACATATATCGGAGGTGATTTCATTTTATAAATAAACACAAAGTTGTGGGTTACTGTAGGGAAAGGCAACACCTCTGTGTGTAGCTGCTTCCATCGTCTCATCAACTCTTAACCAACTTCCTTGTCTCAGCTGAATGCCCTATGGCACGATGCTGCTGCCACCAGTATGTTTCACAGTCCTGCATTGTGAAATTGAGACATGTGTGTTGGTGTATTGCAAACCTCGCTCCTCTCCAAATAAAATGCATCATAGTTTGTGGTCATGATGTAGTAAAATGATAAAGCAGCATGAATATATTTGCTAGGTTTGACAGTAAGGTAAAGCTGTGAAATGTTTTGAGTAACATGAAAGCCACAGTCAGCAATATGGGCCAATATTACATATTGGCGCATATTTACTAGGCCGATATGTAAACTATATTGGCCTAGTTTGGTGATAAGAAGCCTAGTCATTCCTTTCCACAGTCTCACAAACATGTCTTTGTGGTTACATGTATTGTATTTTACCGTGATAACGTAGCAATACCCCAAAGGGTATCACATCCATAGCATAATGTGACTGACTGGCTATTATTTTTGTCATAAACTCTTCTGGACATTACACAGCACTGAGCTACTTAGCTCCTTGCCTATTAATAGACGTTCATACCACAGCAGCGTGGTCCAAACAGAGAGACTGTGTTGAAGTCATATCAGAAACACTATAACTAAGCAAACACAGAGTGGGATAATACAGCTTTCGCTTGCCTTGGCTGCTGACATATTTTTGTGGAGGTAAAATCTGTGTTTGTTGTCATCAGCTTAAAGCGAACAGCGTGTCTTTAGAAGGTGTTTACAGTTCCTACTTTCCACTGGCATCCATCAGAAATATAATACAATGCACTGCTCATTACCTAGAAAAGCATAGCTAGATTGTCAGGACATAGTGCACAGTATCTTAGTTATGGAGTTATTGAATTAGGAAGCCGAACATGCTTCTGATTCTTTCACAAATTACTTTGGGAGGAAAGAGACTGTCTGGCTGAAAATGGCATGCATTTAGTGAAACATAGCTTTATTCTTTTCCTGTTGCTGAAGATGCATTTTGGTTTGAGGAAGTGAAGGTTTTTTCTGTTCAGCCTTTGCACATGACAAAACAAAGACGGCGAATCCATTGCTTGTGCTTCAGCAATCGAGGCGTAGCTGCTGTACGCCTCTGTAGTTGCTCGATTTTGTGGCAACTAAATAGACGACCTCGGTGAGATTTGTTCAATGATAGCCAGAGTGTGCAGGCTGACAAACTTGTTTTATTTAGGTCAAGGTGCCACAAAGCAGGGGGAAGAAATGTAGAAAGCGTACTAACAAGAAACTGTAAAAACGGTGAAGCAAGTGTTTATATTAATACTGCATATATGTGACCATGTTATGAGAAAATTCGCCCCTCAAAGTCTGCAAACATAAACAGATCAAACTCACTTGTGCCAATGTAATTCGACATTTGTATTCTGCTCGGGTGTACCTCTCTCACACACAGCTCACTTTCTCGTTCAAGAATCATTTGTTGTTTTTTCTTTGTGCTTCACAGAGCGAGCTAACCTGCCGAGGAACATGATCGAGAACAGCATGTTCGAAGAAGAGCCTGATGTGGTGGATCTGGCCAAAGACTCAAACACATTTCCAGTATGCCAGTTCATATTTTCATCATTGAAAAAAGTTAAAATTGCACAAAATTTCACATTTAATGACACGATCTAGTTATTACCAAACAGATGTGAATATGATGAATGTTTGTAACAGTTTGCCGAGCCAAACAGCATAATTCCCCTCCTATTGTTTTATCTATGCATTTACACTGGAACTCAATCCCGTGTTGCCTTAAAAAAGCTTTCATACTTCTAGCTTGTCACTTAAAACAAACTAGATAATCAAAATATTTTCTTGTTATTCTATGTGAGAGACTAACACAAAGATGTCCATTCTTGCAAAGCAGTATGAAAATGATACCAGTGTTGTGTGTATTTCTTTTCAACCCCCTCAAGGCAGTACTTTGCAGAACTGTGTTTCACAGGAAGAGATGTAAATCGTTTAGTCTCTACAGAGTGAAGTTTTTCCCCATTTTTGTTTGCAAAACAGCTTAAGCTCAATGAGTTTTGATTGGAGACGTCTGTGAAGATCAGTTTTTAGGCCTCTCCAGTGAGGCCTTAAAACTGTACTTTGACTAGACCATTTTAACACAAGAATATGCTTTGATCTAAATTACAGTTAATGTTATTCTCTCAGCTCTTTTTTTCCAAGTCGTTACAGTATGCAACAGGTTTTATTCCAGGATCAGTTATCTGATGAAACCAGTTTCTTTGACCCTATTCCTGCTTCTTTTGAAGTCTGATCTGCCTATGTCATTTGATTGTCTAGCAAACACAAAGAGTGCCTCGAAGTGCATGCTGTTTGTGAATGCATTTATTTACCACAGGCAGTCTCACAGAATGATGCTGCCACCACCAGAACTGTTGTATTTACACAGAGATTAAATTGCACACAGCTGGAGCCTTTTTTCTACACTGCTAACATCTAAAGGCAACTGGTTGCTCAGTTTCTGCTTTCCTCTGGCATTCATCAGAAATATAATAATATAATGTCAGTCAAAGTAAAGAAAACAGAAAACCTTTAGGATTTTTACTTGTTAAAGTTTCTTAAAATCTTTTCCTTCCACTTTATATTCAACTCTCATTATGCTGGTCTGTGACAGAATCCCAATAAAATAATGTGTAGTTTGTTGCTGTAATGTGAAAAAAGAAAGAATGAAAACATAACGGAGGCAGCACCTGTAATTTAGTTCCTATTTTTATGTGTCTGTGCCTGTTGCCTTTCCATTGATAGTTTACACAGGAAGGCATATTTTTCTGAATAATCACACAGTGATTTGTCCTGTAGACATTTCCCACTCTTGACCCGGATGAGGTGGCATATGAGCCTCGCAGCTCACGGTTGCTGGTGCGTGGCCTGGGAGAAAACGACATGGATGATGATGAAGAGGACTGCGAGTCTTCTGCACGTCTCCTCGGAATGTCCTTTATGAACCGCAGCTCTTCTCACAGGTCCAGCTCGTCCCCTTACGTCAGGCAGTCTCCACCGAGGTAACACTCGCTGTTGATATCTTAAATAATTTCTTTAGATTTATTATTTTCAATAAAGATAATAAATCTTTAGCTGACTTAAAGATTAGCTAAAGTAAAATCAATATATCTGATTTTATGAGATATTGATCATCAGTTTTCTGGTTGACACTGATTCCCTGCTTCTTTTGAAGTCTGATCTGCACAGATTCTGCCTGTCATTTGTTTGTTTACCAAACACAAAGAGTGCCTCAAAGTGCATGCTGTTTGTGAATGCATTTATTTACCAAAAAGAGTGGGACTTCTTAGTTTTTATGCACTTATTGTCTTAGGAAGAATATTGAGACTTTCTAAAATTTAATCTGCCAATCATCAATCTAAGCCGATCGAGGAATAACTGTCAGACTCCCAGCTCTGAATGATTTATTGGTGGGTCTCTAGTAATGAAGCTTGCTGAATATAAATGGAGTTGAAGTTGGATCACTAAGGTGTTAAAGGAACATTCTCCCAAGTAAACGTGTTATATTTTCTGTTATAAAGGTAACAAGTGCTTAACAGTTAAAATATAAACAAATAAATCATGGAAAAATGTAAAGCATGTGAATTAAAAAAAAAACTCTGCAGTTCATCTCTTGTTCAATAAAATCTCTTGTTTTGTCTATAAAAGGTGTCGTTAGCTGCTTTTTGAAAGAATGTAATGGAGGAGGTGGTCTACAGCTGGAGAGGACCCTTCATCCCTGATTTTAAATAGTTTGAGGTTCCACCAGCATCCTCTGACTTCCTGATCTAATGTTTTGGGAGGGTTGCTGATGGAGCTATTCTGTCATCAGTGCTTTAAAGGATTAAAACGTTGAAGTCAAGTGGACATAAACTAAATGGTGATCCGATGTAAAATAGCTAAAACAGGATTTATATGCTGTCTGACACAATGATTATGCATTATTAGGTTGACACAATTTATTTGTTGTCTTCCATGTGGGCCACAATTTTTTATAGATATTTTAAAGCATTAAGACATTTATGTCATTAAAACACTGTTCTACTGTGAAAAGTTGCAATCAAATGATATATACATATGCATTTTAGTTGGTAATATTGATATATTTTTTTGTTTTCAGGTCGTGTTCACGACCCTCAGGTCGTACAATGGTTGTCTGTGTGTTTGTCCTGGTGATCGTAGCCTCGTTGACCATGGTGCTGTACTTCCTCCCTAGCTGCACCTTCACCAAGGTAGGGAGAATAACTCTTAAGAGATATATATGTTTACCTGTTTGACTCTCTGGCTCATTTTTTAACATTTATCGTTCTTCAGGCTGGTTGTCCTCAGCCAAATAAGACAGCACCCCTGGAACCAGTTTACCCTAATTCCACAAACGGAGAACTGTTTCCTTGGGCCGAATTTCGACTGCCTCACAGCATACGACCTCTCAGCTATGACCTCACCTTCACCCCCGACCTTGACAGCATGACCTTTACTGGCAAAGCTGCCATTGAAATGTCTGTACTTCACAACACAAAGCGGATTGTGCTCCATGCTGCTAATCTCAACATTACCAAAGCTACGTTTAAGGTTAGGTTGAAAGAGGATTGGTTAAATTATTAACCTTGGACGTTTGTCTTTCTGTCTTGTTGCTCATTGGACACGTCTTCTCTTCCAGCTGGGCAACGGACAGGCCCGTGACGTGACTGTACTGGAGTACAAACCCCGGCAGCAGATTGCTGTGAAGTTCCCGGAGGAGCTGAAAACAGACCAACATTGTGTTTTGACTTTTGAATACAATGCTAACCTCTCACACAGCTATGATGGTTTCTACAATAGCTCATACACTGATAAACACGGAATCAAAAGGTACATTTTATGAATAGTATTTTGTGTTAAATCTATGTGTGGAGGACATTTTGTTAATGTCTCTTGCTGGGACACTAATGAAGGCCATGAAGACAACAATAAAAAGCATGTTTCACTTTTCTTATTGATTTGAAAACATGTGCTTAATGACATCATCTTTTATTCAGAGTTCTTGCAGCAACACAGTTTGAGCCGCTTTCAGCCAGGAAGGCCTTCCCTTGTTTTGATGAGCCATCTTTCAAAGCCACCTTCCTGATAAAAATCAACAGAAAACCAAGCTACATGAGTCTCTCCAACATGCCTAAGGTATTGTTCAATTAGTGATTTACCTGTAAGATATAAAGGGTCCAAATAGAGTGCTCTGCTTCCATTAAAAGGAAGTTAGAAAATGAGATCAGTAACAGATGAAAGTCTAAATTGAATAAGCTTAAGAAGAATTTAACCTAAATGCAAAAATCATCTTAAATTTACAAATATTGAAAATTTGCTAAATAGTGTCATTATATTTGTGATTTCAGTTCAATTTGAAATAATTTATATTTATGTTTCAAGCATTTTTAATTAGAATTAAGTTGTTTGTTATAGTTTGTATCTGTGTGTTCTTTCTGTCAAGGAAGAAATATTAAGAGTTTTAAGAATAAAGCGAACATCGTTTCTAATAACCTGACATTAAAAAAAAGTCTCCATTTTGCAGCACATAAAAAATTATGAAAATATAATACAAATTAATTCTTCATGTTATACATGAGAACTTGTTGAAATTCTTCTTTTACCACAACCTGCAGGTATGATTGTTCACGCCTCAAATTGTTATCCTGCAAGAGTTTGACGTGTTCAGATGACTTTAGTTGGTTTGATAAGTCCTGTAGTCTAACATCCCTCCATATCCAGGTGTTCAATGTGTGATCTCTGATCTGTGAGTCATGAAACAAAATTCTACAGAACCAGTCTGCTTGTTCAAAAGCCAACAATAATGACAAAAGTTGTGTAGCTTGTCTCTATTTTTCCAGTTTGGTTGAAACAATGACAGTTTATATATATTTTTTCGATTTATAAATTATTACAACAAACAGAGCTCAGTTTTGTGTTGCATATGTTTTGTTAAACTGCTTAAAAATCTTTTACAAGATCTACAATTAAAATCAGTGTTTATAGACTGTGTAGAAAACATAATCTTATTTTCCTCACTGTCTGACATTAACTCAAAATTAACTTTTCTTGCTTCAGAACATTTACAATTACCAGCATTTTTTATATTTGTTGAATGCCAGAATAATGAAAGACATAATTTACTACTTTGCTCGGATGTGGGTATTTACATGCACTAGGATTACTATGTCTATAAACAGTTTGGGAAAGCCCTGGTGATTCTGGCTGACGCTGATGAGAACAAGTACCAACATGGGCTGAAAGGCCACCTGGTGATTAAAGAGGCCATTACTCAAAACACAACATATAAAACAGATTAGAGACATGTCTCCTGGTGAGATAAATCAACAATTTAAATGTTCCCATGAAGCCCAATAACCATTGTTGTATTTGAAGGAAAAAGGGAAACCTGTGGCAGTGGGAGCATCATGTTTTGTGGGTGGTTTTTTTTTTTTTTTTTTTTTGCAGCAGTGACTAATGGGCTTCTCAATGTAGATGAAGTACTCATAACATTTTGTGGAAACCTAAAGGCAAAACTTTAGCACATCAGTCTAAAAGTAAAATCCCAAGCCATACATCTGGCTGACGGGTTGTACCAACTAAAATCTTTTTGTAGTATGCACTCCTGTCTATACAATAAATAGACAGATGTGCAGCTCCTCCTGTGGACACAGTTTTTATCTCCTTACTTTCTGATTTTCTAAACCACCTGCATTTCCCTGCATGTTGGCCTTGTAGTTATTTAATTCTAGCACTCTGCGTTTCAGGCCAAAACCACAGCTCTTTCCAGTGGCCTTGAGCAGGATGAGTTTGAGAAGACCAACGTCAGTATGAGCACTTATCTGGTGGCCTTCATTGTTGCTAACTTCACCTCTGTCAGCAGCAGTGCTTCAGGAACAAAAGTAGGTTTACAAATGGCCATGTTTTGCTGTGGGTTCAAACCATAAGCACCGATAATTAATTTGAAAACATTGCATTGGTGGTGCATTTCACTTTGTGTCTATTTGTGATGCATATCCACATATGTTGGTTGTAGGTCTCTGTATATTCTGTGCCAGATAAGAAAGAACAAACCAGCTTTGCTTTGGACACAGCTTCCAAACTGCTGCAATTTTACAACAAATTCTTTGAGATTGAATACCCACTAAAGAAACTAGGTGAGCAGAACCACTCATCTGTACAACGTTGCTCTTTCTGCACTTCTTTTTGTTATCATTTGTCACACTTCTGCTTCATTTCTGTTTTGTCAGACTTGGTGGCCATTCCCGACTTCCTGGCAGGAGCCATGGAGAACTGGGGGCTCATCACTTTCAGGGAGACCACCTTACTGCTGCACAACAACTCCTCCTCTCTTGAAAAACAAGTAGTAGCCTCTGTAATAGCCCACGAGCTCGCTCATCAGGTAGTTATTTATTTTTATTTGTTTAGACTCCAGGAGCATAGAGTGTGATTATGTTTGGTTTGCTGGTCCATCTCTGTGTTTCAGTGGTTTGGAAACCTGGTAACCATGAGCTGGTGGAACGACCTGTGGCTCAACGAAGGCTTCGCCACCTACATGGAGTACATGTCACTGCAGGAAATACTGCCCAGTTTTGACACTGTGGGTTTGAACATTTGACCTGGGTGTACATAATATTTCTGGTGGATGAATTTGAGAATTTTTTCAAAGAATCTTGCTTGAATATTATTGCAGGGTAATTTATTCCTGACTGTGCGGTTCAGAGCCCTGGACAAAGATGCGCTAAACTCCTCCCACCCTGTGTCGACAGAGGTTAACACGCCAGAGCAAATCGAGGAAATGTTTGACTCGGTCTCCTATGAAAAGGTACAGCTTTGAGTGTTATATAAAATACAAAAAGGTCTTTGACCAAGATTTCTTTGTCTTGCTTCCAAGAAGAGCTCACTTTTTTTTGTTTTCTGTCACAGATGTTCTGATCTGTATTTGATTGAGCTTGCTAAATGTTTTTTTTTTTCTCTTTCTTTGACTGATTTTACACTTATTCTAAGTTCGGAACCTGATAACCAGCCAGTGAATCGACAGAATAATACACGTTTATTGTGTTAGATCCCGAGGAATATACATGTTAATGTGTTTAGGGATTAATAATCTCTTATTACTCTGATAGGTCACTTCTTCTATTACATTTAAAAGGTATTAAAAGAAGTATTTCTCAAGTCTTTGCTGGATTATTTTCCAGTTTCTTGAAGAAACGTTCTTCACATATTATTCATCTGCTGTTCATGCTGGTTTTTACCTTATGCTGATTCTTTGTCCTCTGTTTGCCTGCTTTCCTATTTTTAAGCCAACTCATCACAATTTGTAATTATATTTAATTACTTAAAAACAAAGTGAACAGAAAATGGTTGAAAAGCAGCCAAAGTTCAAAGCAAAAGTATAAAAGATGTTTAAAAAGCACATATAACTATTGAACAAGATAGCTTTTAAAGATTACCAGAAAGCCTGGCTTCGTAAAGAAAAAGTATAAAGATACATTAAGGTAGTTTATAACTTGCTTAGTTTACTAGAGACTCCGCTTTCTTTTGCCAAATATTCATATCCAATTTCTTCAGAGAAATTTCTCTGCTGGACCTCACAGTCAGCTGCAGCTGCAGCTAATGATCCATCTTGGTTTTAATTGTTGGTGTTTTGTGCCTCTGCACTCCAGGGTGCTTCAATTCTCCTGATGCTGAATGCATCATTGCCAAAGGAGCAGCAGTTCAAAAAGGGCATTATTCAGTATTTGAAGTCGTTTAGTGGATTAAATACAGAAACGGTGGACCTTTGGAACAGCCTTACACAGGTACGTGTATGCCTTTACCTAGGGTCTATATGTGCACAGTTATTCAAATGATGTCTTAGTAGGTAATCGATTGACTGTTATCCTCAACATGCATGTCAAACATGGATACACCTAAATTTATTTCATTTTCAATGAATGCATAAACACTGAAAGCTCCTGGGTTTGTTTTGCAAACACAAGTAGTAGATTTTCTGCTAGATTTAAAACTGGCACTCCTGTCCATTTTCCTGCAGCATTTTGTTTTGTTATTGTTCTTAAGATGATTAAAAATTAATGAATGAGTTGTTTTTAGAGCTTAAAAAGAAACTAAGAATGAACAGGTTGGCCCTGAAAGTAAGAACCTTATCACTGCATCTCTGGTCAGAGATCTTTGTCATCACATGTCTTCCATGCAGACTGAAAACAGCACTTTGTTTCCTGTAACAAGAACCCTTTTTTGTTAGTTTTACCATTTGGAATAACTAATTAGTTTCCCAGGAGCTTTACACGTTACATGCATGTATTTGTCAAATGAAATATGACTTTTGCATAATATCTCTGCAGCTTTGAACTCTACTCATTAAGTGTCTGCAAGCGTTAACATTTCCTTCCTGCTGCCTGTTCATCACATATTGATCCTTATCACCCAGTTTGGTTTGGTTTTAAACTGAAGCTACATTAGAGGGTCTTGAACTCTATTAACAGATGTTTGATTTTTCCTCTATTTATATCTTCACCAAAATTTTAATTATCATTAAGATAATTATCATTAATTATCACTTCAAATGACTCCTTATGCCATTTTATTTATTTCCTGCATGTTAAGGTTTCCACCCCGCGTCAGAATATTTCTGAGATGATGAATTCATGGACGTCACAGAAAGGCTTCCCATTGGTCACTGTGAGTCGCAAAGGCGATACGGTGACCTTCTCCCAGGAGCCTTTCCTGCTCACATCTGACAACAGCACAAAAGCAACCAGGTGGGTTTCGTCAACACACTTATCAGTAAGACAAATGCAACATGAAACCCAACGGTGCTGCGATCTCCTTTTCAGACAGTGGAATATTCCCATCACATTCGTGAACGACAGCTGTAGCTTGGCCCCGGAGTGCAGACAGATGTTCAATCTGAGTAAAAAGTCAGGTACAGTGTAACGCTTAACTCTGCCGTAACACTCCCTGTCTCGTTGTTTTGGACACTGTGTGAAATGACAAATGTTTGTGTAACTCAGAAAGTTTAAAGATGCCAGGAAGCGTAAAGTGGCTAAAGTTGAACTACAAGAACACCGGCTTCTACGTTGTTGACTACGGACAAGATGGTTGGAATGCTATTCATGATGCTTTGTCCGAAAACATCAGCGTTCTCACAGCCGAAGACCGAGCCTCAGTCATACATGATATCTTTGCTCTCTCCAGGTAACTTTGTGAGTGCACCAAAAATAAATTATGACATCAAATGGTTAATTTGCTTCAGTAATTCAAATGGTGAAAATCATCGTCACAGAGATGACCAGTCTTTGCCCATTTTGCTTTAACTCCACCCCTCAGCTCCTAAATTACATACTGGTCAGTCAAGTGCAGATAAACCTGAGTCATTCAGACAGGCGTTGTTACTTTTGGTAGGAAGGGTAGATGTCAAGTCTTAATCAGCATCTCCATATAACTCTAACATTTCCTGGTAAATGCCTGTGCTGAATTTGTGCTTGATAAAACACAGCAGACCATCAACATCCGGTGACTTGTCTTCCCAGATAAACACTAATTGCCGATTCCTCCAAAATCTGTAAACTTGATTTACAAATTAAAATTTAATTTCATCTGATAAGAGGACTTTCAGTGCCTGAGCAAAGGTCCAGTTTTTTTTTTCTCCTTACCTCTGGTAAAACGTGTCTGCTGCTTCCTCTGGTTCAGTTGTGTTGAATTACTTGAATAAACGAACATTTCAGTAATGTTCTACATAGCTAACATATATGCATATGATGTGATTAAACAAGCAATTCTACTCCAATATTTCACTTCAGTATTCGACCGTTTCTCCCTGCTTTGTTTGGTCGTTAGACTGGGACGTGTCACTTTTGAACAAGTCTGCCAGCTGTTGAGCTTCATGCCTGCTGAAACAGAGACGGCTCCTGTGACAGAAGCTCTGCTGCAGCTGAACAGCATCTATAGGCTCCTCGATAAAAGGCAGGAGTCTGACTTGGTAACTCGCATGAAGGTACTTTGCAAATGAGTGCTTTGGAAAGTCAGTTGGTGTTTAAATTTAATTTAAATAGTAAAACAGATTTTTTTTTTTATTGTCTGTTAGCCTTAAGTTTAAAGGATGAGCACTTTAAGTTATTAACTACATTATTACTTTTGTAAAACAAGTCCAAGTGTTGCTGTGGAATTGGAGAAGAGTTATTTTTCATTTTTGTTTCTCTATGTGACAGTATTACATTCTGAGTCAATTTGGTTCTCTGATGGAAAATCAAACCTGGAAGGAGGAGGAGAGTCTATCAAAACAGGAGCTGCGCTCAGCCCTCGTCTCAACGGCCTGCGCTCTGAATAATGAAAACTGCGTTGCCAAAGCCGAATCCCTGTTCAAAAACTACACTCTCTCCAATTTTACCATCAAGTAAGTGAAGAATATCTCCTCAACATCCTTTGCAAACAGAAACAGGCTTTTAATTATGTATCATATCAGTAAATGCGTGTTAGTAGGAAGAGGAGAGCAAGAGCTCTAAAAATAAATATTCTAACGTTTGTGTTTTTATGTATACTTCTGTAGGATCCCAGGTGATTTGCAGCAAGCTGTGTTTACAGTGGCCGCTCAGTCAGACGACGGCTGGCATACTTTGATCACCTTGTACGCAACTACCACCAATGATGCGCAAAAGCGAAAGATGCTAAAAGGCCTAGCATCAACTCAGGACCCACGTCGCATTGCATGGTAAGGGTGTGAGTGTGTGTGAGTGTGATCTTTTTATATAGCTATATAAGCTGAATTTCACAGCAGTTCTTTAAAGTTTAGCACATTTGCTTTATAAACTTAGACTTATTTGGATTTCATGTCATAGACCAACACAAAGTAGTGCATCTTTATTTGAAAAGTCATTTTCCTTTTCTTTGATGCTGCTAAATAAAATCTAGTGCAGTCAGTCATCTTCAGATGTCAGAAAATTAGTAAATGGACTCTGGAGGAGCTGCAGAGAACAAATCGATTCACATCACAATTGGTCTTTCACTCCACAAATCTGACCGTTATGGACAAGTGATGAGAAAAACATTGAATTAAAGTCCAGTTTGGAGTTTTTCACAAGCCATGGACGCAACAAACATGAGGAAGTAGAAGGTCTTTTGGACAGATTAAACCAAAACTGAACAGTTTGTCCTAAATACAAAACCATACAGAACCAAGTCTACAGCAGAGACAAGAGGACCAGGTCAGAGTTGTCAAGGAGATAAAAAGAAACTCAGGCCAGTCCTGTAAACAAAAGCTTTTTGTTTATTCCTCTCCCAGTATCCTTCTTTACACTACAAACACCTTGTTGCATTATGGTCTCACTTCGGTTTGCATTGTTTGCTGCTAAAGTCTCTTTATTTTGGTCTGTGCAGGATTCTCAAGGCCGGTCTGAATGGGGCTATCATCCAGACACAGGAGCTGCCTCTGATCATCAACACCGTGTGTAACGGGTTTGCTGGCTATTTGTTTGCTTGGGATTTTATACAAGTAAACTGGGACCGCCTCATAGAGAAGTAAGTCTCATCAAATTAATGTCTTAAGATACATTCTAGGAACAATTTACCTGCTAATTAAAGGATCTGGACTTCAGAGCATCATTATAGCTTCCTGTGCTTCTGGCTGCAGGTTTCCTGTTGGCTCCTTTGCCATTCAGTCAATCGTCAAATCCACTACCTCCCAGTTCTCCACACAGGCACATCTGGATCAGGTATGTATGTATTAGAGATGTACAATATGGTTTCATGGGACTGACAAACACAGAGTAGCACACAATTGTGAAATGGCTCTGTTCTGATACCCTGAGATAAAACCAAGTGTAGCTTATTGGCTTCACATGTCACTTAATTAGTCATTTTTCTCTGGTTGGGTCAGAGTTAATACTGCAAAATATCTGATGACTCAAAACACACAACCAGAGCTATAATGAAACGGTTTAGATCAAAGCAGATCCACATTTAAGAATGGCCCAGTCAAAGCCCAGACTGATGTACATTTGGACTTTTCTGGCAGTTGTTGTCTCCTTCCAGTCTGACTGTGCTTCAGCTATTTTGCAAAGATGAATAGGTAAAAGTTGGTAAAGATGTTTGTAGAATTATTTTCAAATGCAGTAAAAAGAAACACAAAAATTTTAATTGTTAAAACCATGTATGGGATACGGTTCTAGCCCACTTTGAGTTTGTAATGTGACAAAAACAAGTTCAAATGATAGTAATATGTTAAAGTCTGTTAACCTGTTTTGAATGATTAGGAGTCCTTGGATCACTTTGTGTCTCTTGCAGGTTCAGGCGTTCTTCTCCAGCCTGAAGCAGCGCGGCTCTCAGATGAGGAGCGTGCAGGAGGCTCTGGAAACCATCAGGCTGAACAAACGGTGGATGGAAAGCAACTTACAAGCTATGAGAAAATGGAAGGTCAAGTCAACCTGAATCTGCCCCGATAGCGAGCAGGTGGGGGTGCATTTTCAAGACAGCAGCAGTGTTTGCACTATTTTTGGACTCTGTCCCTTAACTCCCAGTAACCAGATCAGAGCAACAATCAAAAGCTCCTTCTGGATGAAAGGTTTCTGAGATGAGTCCTATCAGTTTTACGCGATAGCTCAGGGTGGTTCTGATTGTCCGTCTGATTGTTGTCAGACTCAACACACACTCCTTGTGTTTTATGCTGTCGACCAAACCTCCTCCGCAGTTCTCATCTAAACCTTGTGTTTTATTAGACAATCATGCTTCAAAGATTGAAACAGACCTCCTTTCCCCCCCCCGCTGGGTTTCTAACACCCAACCATTTAGGCTATAAAATGTTTCAAAACGTCCAATTTATGCACGAAGACGAGGCGACTCGATTCGACGTTCCTCGGCAGTGAGGAAATAAGAGATGCGGTTTTGTGAAATGGATCCCCATCACTCCTGCCATGTTGATGCTAGTCAGGTCAGATGATTAAATGATGGTTTAAAATGCCAAATGTTTTTTTTTGGCATCAGTTGAATGTAGTAAGAAACCTTCCCACTGTGTGCAGTAAAGGATATACAGAAAACCAGTGCAGGTTTAAATCACCCAATGTGTCTTACAGCAGGTGAGAGAAGGCAGCCAACACTGGAGCCAAGCGGTCTCTTTATTTAGTTTCAGCTCTGAAACTAAACATGTTTTACTCTACTTTTGTTGCCTCTACTCTCTTTTTATTTTGTTTATTTTTTTGTTTTTCTAGTCCATACCTGGGTAAGGTTGTAACAATAATGTAAATACTAGCAATGTGTTTTTGGAAGTACTATTTTAAAAATATTGACTTTTAATATTTTACATCTTGATATCTGTTGTGTTTGTTTATAGTGTAAAGTTTTATTTTGAGTCCAGATGAAAACTTTTTTTCTTTTTGTTATTTTCCTATTTCCTTATTTAGACAACCAAAAGGAGGTCGTTTGCTGATGAATGTTGTGTTACAAGGGCTACTGTGCATATTAGAGACATCAGGCGTCTGTGTTTATTTGTCTATACTTATTGATAATTTGTTGTTTATTAGTCTAAAAAGCAAAGAGGTTGTTTTTTTTTTTTACTCTTCAGAAGTAGTTATTTATTAACAGTCTTCACATGTGACTCTTTGTTTTCTGAAATGTTATTTAAAGACAGATGCACGTCCAGAGGTACTTTCTTCAGATTCACTTTCCTGTTACGTTTATCATGGTGTCATTTACGGCCACAAAGGCAACTCAAGATATCTGTGGAAATGTTCCTCCTAATGGTACCTGATGGGGTTACTGATGGGGACGATGGTGCGAAAGGTTCTTGAAAAGTATAAAAGTGCTTTTTAGCATTTTCCAGATCTGGATAACTTTTAAAAAAAGAAACAAAAATGCTTTGATTTTACTCTTTTTCTTTCTTACATTTTCAAAAACAAATTGACATTCATCTATGTTAAATTCCCATGCTTTTGTCTCTGATTTGCCAAGTTACATATTTACCATTTTACCCATGAGTATCTTGGTTTTGCATAGTGAAGAATTATTATTGATCTCCCTGTTTGGTCTCCAGACAGCATTAGATTCAGATTAAACTGAACCCGTGGTTCCTAAACTGGGTTTAAAATATTCAACAAAGTAGTATAGCTCATATTTTTATAAATATCTTCAAACAAAATAAAGACGGCAAATTTTTTTCAACTTAAAGTAATCTGTTTTTAGTCTAGGATATCATATTAGTGGAAAACAGAGATGATCGAAATTAGTCCAGATCCTACAAATGCTCTAATCAGTGTTGAGCCTAACGTGACGACTATTCAATGGGTTCAAATAGATTTCTAGTAATTTATTTAGAAATGAAGAAAAATTAAGTGTTTAAAAGTGTGAAGATAAGTTTCCAAAGTAGAAAAAATGAAGACAAAAAGAAATGACTGAATCAGACTTTTTAAAAGCATCTCATCACAGTTTCAATCTGAGTAAAGATCATTAATATTTCAGCCAATTATTTTGTCCTCACTGATTCTACTTGCTGAGAGGATTTCGTTCAGTTTTGCTCAGATATCTTTCTGTTACGTAAAAGCGCCATGTTCACGGTGAAACTGTAAAACATTTTGTTTTTGCACTGAGATGATGTCCTTCATGTCCTTTCGGGTTTTCATTACTTGAAATCTGCACAAATTGTTCAACGAAGCTACTTGGGGAAAACATTTAAAATAGAAAGAAATTGAAAGGGAACTCCATTTTCATCAGTCAGATTTTCCCACATTGTTCATCTGTCATTTTTTTTTTGTTGCATTTATTGTCTTTCTGTCAAAAACTGCCCAAAGTTTAAGTTCCTGTGCTTTACAAGCCTTTTTCATAAAGCAACTTGTTTCATTTCTTGTCATTTTTGACACTCCAAATAAAGCTAATCTGCATCCAACTCTTCTTCAGTGACTTTCATTGTACAACACCAAATTAGACTTATAAAAATATAAAAGAAAACTATCTATATTTACATGTAAATATGATCACATGCATATATTCTTTCAGCACTAGAACGTTTTTAGCTTCACTGTTGAGATTCCTTCTTGACACTACACAATTTTTATTTAAAATTCTTTAATTGAGCGATTTCTTTATTAAAGTATTTAAAATTAGTTTGACCATCTTTTCATGGCTTTTCCGTCATTAATGCATTAGACATTTTATTATTGACGGATGTTCAGCACAGTCTCACTGATTTGAAGTTTGTTTTTATTCATTTTCTGTGATTGATGTTATCACACTGATTTGCATTCACCATCCTTCAGAAACACGCTGGTTCTGGTTGGGGTTAAATAGTTTTGCTTTTCAAATCTACTTGCATCCCTTTTTGCTTATTTTACATGCGATCGCAGCCAATCCCCTTCGCTTCAGGTTTGACGGGATTTTTCTAAATTAAATAATTTAAATCAGAAATATTTCTGAGAAAGCAGCAGAACCACATAGCAACTGGATACAGAGACGCATCAGAACATATGAAACACATCAGAACCACGGAAGCGCTGTCAAAAAAACATGCCGGATCTGAACAGGAGATGGCAGCGTTGCTCCTGAAAGATGTCATTAAGTTTGGAGAAATGGAAATTAGAAGCATTGTTGAATTGTACCAAATGCAGAAAAATATTAAATGGTGGCTTTTGTTTATCTTCTACAACAGTAAATAAAAGAGAAACGGCTATTAAAAAAAAATAGATGAAAAGAAGTGACCTTGAATATTCACTAGGATAAGTGAATAAAAGTCCTCTGGTGACACTGGATTAAACTTAATCATTTAGACAATTTGTTGAAGCTTTTATCAGCCGACAGTTGAGTTTTCAATTCCTTCAAAATTCCCTTTATTGATTTTGGGATACATCTTCAGTTTACAAATAAAGTAATAATAATATAGTCATCCTTAGGATAAATATGTTTGGAATGAATTTCTGTCTTTCATCGACTGGAAATTAAACATCTGCTTTTAAGCCTTCCTCAACCTCTAAAAAGCTTTTTTTCTCAGGTGTATCTTGTGTTTAGCTGCTGCACTAAACATCCATATAGGCTTGTCAAAATATTCAGGACTGAAAGCAAATGCATGCCACAAAATCCAAGATTTTATTTTACAAAAAAACAAAAACAAAAGAGAGATCATGTATAATTTTCTTTCACTTGTGTTGTTCTCTATTTGGTGTTGGTCTTTCATCCATTTGTCAGTCCTTCCTGCTTTTGGTGACAACCCTTATTAGAAGCACAGCAGAAATCCAAACAATGTGGATCATCGTCAAAAGGTCACGCCGACACTGGCACACAGTGTCCTGTATCAGCGGCGTTAAATCAGATCATATCTTATCAGATCAACCGGCACGATGAAACGGGACTGGTGTGGAAAAAACAGCCTAGAAGGACTTTAATTGGGGTAAAGTGAGAAACATGAACACTTAACTCTTTTTTAGAACTGAAACACAAACTATATTTAAATGAAATTGAAAACATTTCATTGACAGGAAAGTGACGACTCTTCTTCTCAAGTATGACTTCCACATTTGTTTTCACCGTCGATGTTTCTTTACACCCCTCAGCTTTTCATCACATCACAAACACAAACATCAATGCACTGTTGCAGTTTTATGTTATGCAGAAAGTAGTGCCCAGTTTTGAAAAGAAAGGAAAATTAAATGTGGACACAATTGCAGATATTTTAGGATCTTTACTAGCTTTACGTATCTGGACACTGATTTCATGTCTCTGTCCATCTTTACCTTATCTCTGGAAAGCAAAGAAGGAAAATCACTCCCACAGCATGATGCTGCCTGCCACCTCATTATTTTACTGACTATATTTCCTCATGCAGATGTAAAGCTTTAGTTTTGCACCAAACATGAACCTTTGCATGTTAGCCAGGACGTTCAGTGTTTATTCTGATTAGTCTCAGTTAAATGACTTCTAAAAGCGATTAGTTAGTAGATTTTATTTGTGTCTGATATAGACTACAACAGGCTGCATAATTAAATATTTCTACCAAATATTTAAAGCCACAAGTTATTTTTGTTCAGTTTTCTAAACAAAAATCTAAAACATCAAATCACTCTAAACGAAATAAAAGTTTTTGTTTGTAATATGATGTTTATTCCTATGCAGCTTTATGGTGACTGAGGTTTTTCCTAATTCTGTCAGTACATCTTTGGCACAGATGTCATCATGAAATGTGTAACCCATATGGTTTCAGTCAGCGTGACTGTCCGACTTTAGGCTTGTCAAACTGCCTTTTCCACTGGAGTTACATAAGGCTTCTGTGAAGCCTTATGTAACTTTGTCTTGTTCCTGGATAGTGAACCCAGGTAACATTTCACACTTTTTACTCACAAATTATGCAGCAGCCTTGCACCAATGGAGTTGCCTCTTTCAATCGTACTCAGGGTTCTTGTGTAATGGCATCACATATTTCATGTGCATGTCGCGAGGGAATGAAAAGCGCTCATCTCGACTGGTTGGGCAGAAACCAGTCTGCTAATTGAAATCATAGAAATTACCAGAATCCTGATCCAACGGCATCACTGCCAACAACAGTGTCCACTCTGTGTCATAAAATCCTGAAGAGATATTTACTATGATTACACAGATCACCACGAAGGTTATGATTACGATCATATCGTGTTTATCGTATGAGCATTACAATTCTGTTGACGTTAAGTAGGGTTTTAACATGTTAGTCCTTTGTGTGGGCTAACTGAAGAAAGGAAATTGACACTTTATTGGAGTCAAGACACACCAAACACTTGTTGCTCGTGGATCCGAGTTGTTTTTAAGCAACTGTGTCATACAAAGTGTTAAGCAACTACATCTGACCTGAAAAATGGACACACTGATAAAATTTAATTTATCGCCATCAATTGAACTTGATGTCACTTTGAACTTTGTTTGCTCCTCGACAGCCGTTATGTAAGCTCAACTACAAAACCTGATGCTGTGGGATAACCATGATGTTTATCCAGATAGCCTCCTTTGCTCTTTATTCACCATTGTGAACAAAATCTTTCTAGTTGAAGACAAAATAATAATGCTTCAAAGAATGAATCATAGCCATGTCGAAACGCAATAAACCATTGCTGTAAATCAAAATGGCAGACAGATGTAAGAGTCAGATGACAGAGGAATGACACTTGCTGAGTGTTATGTAATCTCCCAGTGAGCCTTGTGACTGAGATACACTGAAGGTTTAATACTGAGTTTTCTCCAAAGGCTTCTGGAAGCTTCTGGCACGCTCTGTTCACTTATCTGATCTTGCCGGACACTTATCATATTTTTCTATCTCAAATGTTTGGATTGACGAAGGAGGCGCAGCAGGTTTCCGTTGCTGTTGCATAGTTTCACTAGAGCAAAGCTTTTACCTGCACCTGGCACAAAAGCTGGAATCTTGTGACAAACGTGTGTAAATCACTCACTTGACATTGACATACATAACGTCAACTGATAGGAAAATAAAAATATAATTTTGCTGTATGGTCATGCCGGACCCCATACAGAAATTAGGTGTCTTTAGCTCATTTCTGTGTCTAGAAATGTGCTGAAGATTTAGGTTTTTTTCTTTCTTTTTTTTTAGGGGAAACTGTGGATATTGAAGGAATCATTTTCTCCTCAGTTTTTGCTCTCAGATTTTGCAAGGTTTTGCTGTTGGTCGAAGGGAGATGTATGCAGAGAGAAGCTGCAGCTTTGAAGCTTCCTCCTCATCTAACGTGCTGTTTGTCAAAAGTCAAGAGAACTAGAGATGTAATGTTAATTACATCTCTAGAGAAGTTGTCACCTAACATGCTTAAGCAGAATCAAGATTTCATCAAGTTGATTGCCTAACCAAAGTTTTAAAAAATGATTTATAACTACTGTAGAGTTTGTTTAAGCCATCCTGAACCTTTAGTATTTACCAGTTATTCAATCTTTCTTTTTCTTTTGTCTGTGTCTTCAATAGCCAAATTGAAGCTCTTGAAGCCAAATCCAGTTTGCTCTGACTTGATGGGAGCAAAAGGGTCAAAGTTGACCACAATTATAAACACAGTTGAAGTGGAAAGTTTTTTATTTGATTTTCAAATTCAGCAATGAGAAAATTAATTTTATATGAGCAAAACTAACAAAGTAGAAGAGATTCTAGGTTATGTGATCACCCACACATTATTTAAAAATATGTGCAGACCTGGAAGAGACATAACTCCAAAGACTTGCAGCAAGAGCTTTACAGGCAGTAAAACAATAATTTAAAAATAATAGTTGTCTTTCTACCTCAGGATTGGGCAGAACTTTGATGAGTGTCTGTCACATAAAATATAAATTATATATTACTGATGTTAAAGTTTAAAAAAAATACCTTTAAACGTCCAACAAGTTAATCCAAGAGTATCAGGAATCTATTAATTGTGTCTTGCTGTAATACAAACATTCTTTGATTAAGACAATGAAAACACTAACGGGGCTTGAGAAACAAATTTGGAGTAAGTTTTTTATTGTTTTTATTTCAGGATTTATATTTAATCCCGTTCTCTGACCATTTAAATCACATTCTCTGGAAACTCTCAGGCTCATTGTGCAAGTCCGCTAAGCCAGATTAGTAAACGAATAAATCTGCTTCGTTGTGCTGAGCAGCGTCATAATTATTTACATATTCTTGTGATTCAGGTGTGATAGAAATTTGATGAGGAAGTACAGACATTTAAATATTTAAAGTTCTGGTACCAACAACCATGACACGTTCAAAGTCACTTGATTATCTGCTGCTGCTTTGAGCTACAGCAGATAATCTCAGCCATGTCTACACCCCTAAATGCATTCAGTTGCTGCCATACAATTGATTGATTTGACATTTAGTTGATTTGTATTAATGAGAAGTTGGACCTAATAAAGTGGCTGGTGAGTTCTGACTGTATATTTAGTCACTGTACTGCTGAACAGTGAACCTTCCCCCTAATCTTAAGTTTTTTGCAGCCTCTAATAGTTTTTCACCAGAACGGTGGTGAAAATATCAGTGGGATGGTACGTTCATGACAGTAGACGTTATTTTTCCTACATCCTTAACATTTTGTATTTCAGCCACAGAGTTTGTATGTTTTTCTGGCTCCGTAAACAAAACTTTTCTTGAACCACTCGTCCACAAAGACCAGGTTAGTGGAGTGAACAGCTTGTTATCTTGCGGACAGACTTTCCCTGTTTTTGAAAACACCAAGATTTATTGTTCACAAAAAAAATTACACTGCAAACAAAAGCCTAGCTCCCACATTAAGACAAGTGTATAGAAGAAGTACTAGTTGCTAAACTGAACATGACTCCTAAAAAGAATATAAATATTGACAGCAGAATAATAAAATATATATATATGTATGTATATATATTTACAACTACATATATTCACATCATTCAAACATTTCAGTGTCACTCCTTATTTTCACATCTTCACTATTTCCAAGTACATTGTTTAGACATAGTCAGCATCAACAACGTCGATGGAATCATCCTCTCCGTTTGTTTCTTCCACATTAACGCTCTCATCCTCTTCAGTCCTCTTGTCGTTTTCACTTTCTTGTCTCCCCTCCTCTATTCGTTGAAGTTCCAGTCTTAATTGCTCTTTCTCATTCAGGGTTATCTCAGCGTTCAGCTGCTCTTGACTCTCTTTCGCTGCCTTCTCTGCCTTCTCCTGCTTCTTCAGCCTCCAGTAGAAAGCCAGGTTTTTCTCAGGGTAGGTGACGTTGGCCAGCGGGAGCTTGAATATCCTCTTGGTCCCCGTCGTCAGGAGGAGGAAGGTGAGGGCAGACAGGCAGAAAGGCCAGGTGCATGCCGGCAGACCAAACTAGAATACATAAACAGACTGTGAGATACAAAGAAATGGCAAATCAAAGTCTGTTGATGCAGATCTCTCGACCCACCGTGGACATGACGTTGGCGATGGCTGAGCCCAGGTACGCGCAGAAAAAAGCTGCAGAGGAGAAAAAGTCCTCAAATCCCCGTGACATAACAAGTGTGATTGCATATCAGAAATACCATACCTACGCTTGACGTGGCTTCTTACAGTTACGTGTCACACCCTCACCTTCCAGATAGAGGCTTTATCTAGGTGGGTATCTACTCACCACATGTGATGGCAAGCAGGTGCACCTGCCAGGTGAGAGCGTAAAACATCCCTCCTACAGCGATGCAGGCTAAGACGCAGTTGTATCCCCAGAGACCAAAGTAAATGTCTTCAAAAGGAGCTGATAAAGCCAGACCTGTGAGAAAGAAAAGAAATACGCAAAACTCAAAGAGCCAGAAACAACAAGACAAAAGAAAACAGCAGCAACTCGGAGTTCTGCTAAACTTAATATTTGCTATATATGTGCGACTGGGACATTTACAAGCATGGGGGTGGCGGCATCATGCTGTGTGGCTGCTCTCTGTTACGTCAAACTTGGTTTTACTTCAATCAATCAAGCAAGCAATTTTTTCTATAAAGCACTCTTCATGTTGGAGGCAGCTTGCTGGAAACACAAATATTTCTGAACTGTGTTTGAACCGTCCAGGGTCACAGTCTGCAGGTGCAAATACCAGAATTATGAAGTAAACTGGAACTGGTGGGATACTCCCTTTTGCTTTGTAACAGGGCTGGTGGATATTAAAGATTTTCTTCACTTCCCTGGACTCATATTCTTTGCTTTATTTCTTAATAAAATAATATTCAAAATGCATTTTGGTTCGTTCTTCGTTGACTCAGTGTTTCAGCTTAGGCAAGACTTAATCATTTCCTTAACATCTCCGTCAGCAGAAACTGGGACGTTGATCAGCATCATTGGGAAGACAGACGGGTAAAGTACATGGAAGCCTTTCGGGAGAAGCCAAAGATTTGAGATTGGGATATTGTTGTCTTGATCCACAAGATTCACGCAAACATAATGTGTGGTTGAATGTTGCTGTGTTAGCCTCAAAAGAGACTTTGTTCGAATCCCTCACCTGACACCATTCCCACAGCAGATCCCAGGACAGCATGGACACAGGTGATGGGTGAAGAGATGAAGAGAGAGATGATGAAGATCCCCCCTGTCCAAGGGTTGTCACAGCCATACACCTGTCCTATTCCCACTGGTATGGACCTGAACAGCTGAAAAGGAGAGAAGGGAAATATAATTTTCTAAAGCATTTTAAAGATACACACTTATACAGCACTCTGCAGCGTCTGAGCACATCAACGTCGCCGTGTTAGAGGTGAAACAGAGCAGAGAAAGAAACAGAGAAAAAAGGGGCCTGCTGCTGACCTTTGCCACGTCGATTTCAGACCAGGTGATGTTGGGCAGCTCTGAGCGTGGCTGGATGAGGACTTGGGGGAAATGGTGGTTATAGTGGCCCGTGGCGACCATGTGGAGACACACCAGGATGTTGAATGGCAGCGTGAACACCGGCAGATCCCAGCGGGTGTTGATAGATGCCAGGGCACTGGACACAATCGGGCTGAAATAAAGCAATCCAAAACATCCTTTGTCAAACAGATTCAGGCTCATGAGGAACGTGTGTCTGTTGCAAACCACTGCAGATCTGCATTAAAACACCTAAAGGGCTGTCTTTCTTGATCACTGAATGAAATAGGGTTAAATATACAGCTGCATACGAGAAGTGAAGAGACTGATGAAGTTTTCTGAAATGAGAATATCTGCATGACAGTAATTACATCATGCAGCTTGTTGATTTCTCATACATGCACTCAATATTCTTGTTAATGAGTTCTGCTCAGGTGAGGACTTGAACCCGCTAACACAACTGAAACCAGGTGCAAAATCCAGGTTATCCCACCAAATTTTGATTCCTAAGTTAAACATTTTGTATAACTTAACTTTTCTCAGCAATAGGTTGAAAATAAAAATGAAAAGTATTGGGATGTTTTAAAATCTTGGAAGTTGTCTTTTAATTTGTCTCAGAGTTGTTTCAGAAAGTTGAAGCCTGGATGGACACGTTAACACTTACCACATCATGGACATGAAGACGTTGGGCAGCAGAAGCCACCAGTACCAGTCGCCTGCGTTGGAGAACACAGCCATCAGGAGACCCACCAGGATGCCGTTGTAGCCATAAAGTCCTGCAGCTATTGCAGCTCTGAAAGACAGTCATCCTAACTGATCACCGCTGTTCATATTTTACTCCACGTCACTTAAGTACTTTTATTTATATTCCCACATCATGATTTATTCCAGATAAATTTTACTTTCTCACCTGCTTTGTTGCAGAATGAGAGCAGAAATTGTTGCAAAGAGTGTCCCCACGAAACCGTTGAGGGCCCACCAATAATTTTGCAGGATGAGGCCAGCAAAAATGACCAGGCCACTCAGAGGGTTGTTAACAAACATCACCTGGGCAGCTCCGCGCAGAACCCAGTCCAGGAGCTGCAGCAAAAAAAACTGTTCTGAAAAGAGAAGCACAAACACATTCATTACCCCAATGAAAGGCTGGACAGTTACAGATTTAGACTTGTGAATGTTTGTTAGTAGCATCTCAGTTTTTCTTATGACTGCATGATTGTAACTTTCAGAGCAGTCTGTGCACCATTTTGTTCTTCAGCACTGCTCTGTGTTAGGTTTGACTTACTCTCCATCCATTTCCCAAACACCTCCATGTCTCCTGAGAAATAGGACACCCCCTTGAGGAAGCGGGTCCAAGCCCTGTGCAGGCATGTCCGCCTCTCCACCCTGTCTTCCTGGGAGGGGTTGTTCTCAGAGTTAGCCATGAGAGGATGGAGCTCCTGGATTTAAATAATTACACATGTTGCTTCTGTCATACAAACCGGGATTATTCGTGATATTCAAGAAAAACACAAACTTACAGTAAAGACTGGAGAAGAAGAGCTGACTGGAACAGGTGCAGAAGAGGAGCTGCTGATATTCTTCTGAATATCCTTCTTAAGAAAAATGACTTTTAATATTTAAGTACAAAATCATTAAAAGCTTTAAAACAATTTAAATGCAAGTTATTGTTTCAAAGAAATTCCTTCATTATTTTAAAGTTGGCTTTTTTACTTCTGCCATACCCAGCCTTTGTACTCATCAGGTAATTATTAATGTATATGGGAATTTACACTCTGTGCAATGTAAAAATTAACTTTAGTACATTTTTTACATTAAACATTTCACTGAAAGCACAAATCAATTCATTCAAGCACCAGAACAAAGAGCCAATTGTTTTTTTTCTCTCTCTCTCTCTTTTTTTATATTAGCTCTCTTAAACAAATGCTTTTATTTGTATTTTGATCATATTTAACTGTCTTGGTGCATAATGCAGATTACGGTAAGAATTTAAAAAGAGTTCCCTACCTTTGTGCAGTGTGATCCAGTCATATGTCCCAGAACAGGCAGAGGTTTCATGCACTGCCAGCTTCTCTTAAGCTGCACAACACAGAGCTACAACAGCTTTTATGCAGAAAAAGACATGAGAGGAAAAACTCCACCTCTATTTCACACCCACTTCACTTTTTCTCCTGCTCATCAGTGACAGAATAAGATAACTCTCGCTGCTTGTTAATCCCTGAAGACACATATTATAATTTCAAAAATTGTATTTATTTTTTTCTGACTTCTTTTATTGTGAGCAAGGTGACTGTATGGCAAATTGCTACCAGTATAACAGATCTGTAAAATGTAACCAGATGAAACAGATTTCTTTTTTGCAAAGCAAATGAATACATATTTTTTTTATTATTTCTATTTAACTAACAAATATTACAACATTTCCTTAGGTATACATTGCTAAGTCCCTCTCGACAATTTGTCTACGTAATTTTACTGAAAACCCCCATAATCAAGTCTTTTTAATAAATGAAAACAAATTAAGTAAAACTGATGAAGGCTTGTGCCTGGCATATTATAACACAATACAGGCAATCTCACTCAGATTGAGTGAGATTTCTGGTGTGATTAAAAGAGGAATGAAGTAGGAACAGGTCCAGGTCTAGATCTTTCCAGGAATATTTTTAGAAAACTGTTCCTCATGAGCAGCAGGCACGCATTTGATATTTTTTACTGTGCAATTGAGAATAAAAAGGATTACATTCTCCATGAGTTTTCAGATATTTGCATAACTGGAATTAAAATTTTTAATAACTTCCTGCCGTCACCACCAATAAATACAGCGAGTGAATTGATGCACAAAATCCTAAATCAGACACCAACCTTCAGAAGAGCAGCCCTGGCAGTCCTGTCCATGGACTCCACAAAAAGGGCTGGAGAAAGCGGCAGCACTGGTGAGACACAACTGGATCGATGTCAGCTGTTAAAGTTATCGATGTCAAAGTTATTCCAGTAAAACAGGGAAGGAACAGCTCCACTTTTAAGGCTGCTGGTGGTGGATCCGCTAACCAAATCCTCCGGTGTGAAGTCGCGGCTACATACGAAAGTGCTCCCCGTCTTTATGCAAAAGTCCGGACATTCATCTCTTCGGATCGCCTGGATCCACTGCCTCCGTTGGTCCGGGTCCGTCGGGAACGCATGATATGACAGATAAGGCTGTTTTCTTGCCCCACATGAACAACCAGGAACTGAACAAAAACAACTGCGCCGAGACTGAGCCATTTTCATAGCCTTTTAATGCTAACGCTATAGCCACCGGAAGTTGTCCAACCCCACATCCGCTTTATAAAACGCATGCGCACAACCACCCCGGCCCCGCGCATGCGGACAACCACCCCGGCCCCGCGCATGCGCACAACCGCCCCGGGCCCGCGCATTCGCACAATTGGCCCGGGCCCGCGCATGCGCACAATTGGCCCGGCCCCTCTACTGGCACGCGCCAGTAGATGGAAGAAGGTAATGAACGACAATAACAACAACAAACATGGCGGCTGCGGTGTCCACGCGAACATTTCCATTTCCCGTGTGGACAGCAAAGTTTTGGAGCCACTTATCTGAAACAGCCGCCGACAGGGCTTAACCTTTTTCAGCTTAACCTTTTTTTTTTCTTCTTCAAGTCGCTGTCCATAAAGGTAATGTTTACGTCTAAACGATTAATTCACTGTCTAATGAACAAAATGTTTCATTTGAAGCAGAAGTGTCCTAGAAATATAGATGACTAAAAAGTTGTTGAAAGCACTTCATTGAAGAAAATGTTTAACTTCAAGCTTCTCAAGACAAAAGAAATGAAACAAACTTTTTAAGGATTAAACCGTTCTGAATGTCTTAAACTAAATGCTTCACCACAACTAAGCCAGCTTTCTTAGCAAGAGTTATTTATGAGTGGATTTCACTGAGGTTAGGTTTTTCATTTGCAATATTGTTTGGCAACATTAAACTGGATTATCATCCTGGCCAAGAAGAGATCACCTGCTACTGTGGTACGAGTCACACAAAACCACTTAACCAAGTGTTTAAAAAGAAAGGATTAACTTATCCTTCACATTTAAAATTAAGCCCAGGTGAAGAACTATAATCCACAAGCTTGAGTTCGTAGCATTAGAAGATGTTTGCCAAAAATGGATATCTCATGCTTCTGATTTTTATTTCTGAAGATGTAGTCATGTATGTATGCATTGCTTACTTGACATTTTGAAGATTTGGTGGCTTCCAAATTATCTTTTTTTTTTCTAGAAAATAATTATGTTTTTCTTACAATCACATTAATCATTACTTTTTATTATTTTTCTTGTCCAGACCTCCCTCAGGGCAGTGCCTGAAAATAAAGCAAACTTCCCACTGACCACCAGTTCTACAACCAGACAAGAAACTCCCAAACCAGACCAGGACTTCAGCAAAATATGGAGAACCACTGCAAAGCACAACCTGCATGGGTAAAAGTCGAAAAGGAAACATTAGAATCTCTGCAAATTAAAGAAAATTGTGGAGAACCAGAGCCTCTTTTCATTAAAGATGAGCTAAAAAAACTAGGATCACAAATAAAGGATGAACAAGAAGAAATAGAACTTCAGCAGGTAAAAGAGGAACCAGAACCTTTGCAGATAAAGGCCAAACAAGAAGAAATGGAACTTCAACAAACAAAAGAGGAGAGAGCAGAGCCTGAACCTCCACAGATAAAAGAAGAACAGGAGGAACTCGGTACAGCTCTAAAGAAAGAGCGGCTAGAACTAAAACAGCTGACTGATTCCTGTACTGTAAATACCACTAATGAGGAAAGGGACCTCTGGAATCCAGTTTCGAACAGGGAGCTTCTTCTCGAGATATCTTTAGAACCTGAGAACGAAAATCATAAGATGGGCAATGATGAAGAACTGAATCAAAGTGAGAGGTTTCAGAAAACCATACATCAACATGACAATGTAGGCAATCCAAACACAAAACGATTGACGAAAACAAACATGAATGATAATTTGTCTTCTTGTAAAGTTTGTGGTAAGTTATTTGCACGGTCTTATTTGACAGAACACATGAGAATTCACACAGGTGAGAGGCTTTTTTCATGTGCTACCTGTGGAAAAGTTTTATTACTGGAAGTAAGTTAAAAATCCACATTAGAACTCACACGGGTGAAAGGCCTTTCTCATGTTTGACTTGTGGAAAACGTTGTAGTGATAGAGGAAATTTGTCAAAGCACATGAAAACTCATTCAGCTGAGAGGCCATTCTCATGTTTGACTTGTGGAAAAGGCTTCACTAATAAGGGAAATTTGTTTCGGCATACAGGAACTCATACAGGCGAGAAGCCTTTCTCATGTGTGACTTGTGGAAAAAGTTTTACCCAGCAAATTCACTTAAGTAAGTGATCACATAAAAATCCACACTGGTGAGAAGCCTTTCTCATGTTTGAGCTGTGGAAAAGGTTTTTGTCGTAGTAGTCATTTGACTGTTCATATGAAAACTCATCCAAGTAAGAATTTATATGTCATAAGATTTTTTTTTTTTTTTTGACAACTGAAGTCCCAGATGTGAAGTACCTCATATTAAACCTGTCTTCTTTGGATTTAAGCTTTAGCCGATTGTTGCTGGTTTTCTCTAACATGTTAGACTTTTCCAGGGTTTGTGTTTGCAACTAAAATTAATTAAAATAAAAATATATATAGGAAATGGTTATTTTAGCTATACAACTTGATGTTATGTTTTTTTTTTTTACATTTAGAATGTAATTGAAGTATTTTCAATAAAAGTATTTTTATCAAAAATACTACGGTCTTAGTAGATGCTCGGAATAGTCCTTATGGTTCACACCATAAGGACTGATTGATTGAGCAGTATCTCTTGATAACTCGGTACTGTGAAGTGCATTATCTGGGTGATCTAAGTCCGTAATCCCAGGTGCACTTTAGAAACCATAAACAGCGTATTGCCTCAAGTCAGAGAAGACTTGACAGATTTCAAAGACTTAAGTGAATAAGTTGATTTGTATAGCCTGTCCTTCCAGACAAGTGAGACATACATGGGAGAACAGAATGTGAACAGATAAATAAACGGCTATATTTGTATCTGGTGGTTCTGGATCGATGCTTTTTACTTTTAAAGTAACATTTTTATTGTTTGTTTTTTTTGCTGTTTGTAATTTTTTTTATCAAAACAGGTCTCTGGTAAATTGGATCTCAACTGGACAACCTGTATAAATAAAGGTCATATTAATAAAATAATAAGGCAGGTAATAGAGCACATTGGTTTGTAGTTTTTCTACATTTGTTAGCATTTATTTTATTGGATTATTAGTGAATAAGCAGTTTAGAAATGTTTTTTTTTTTTTAATTCGAACAGAGAGTAACTTCTGTTGAATTTTCTCCAAAAATAAAGGGTCAGTGTTTTGAAAATGTAAAGGTGATAAATCTGATTCTTCTTTAAATGTGATTAGGGTCACCTGACTTAGGCACATCATCTAAGAAAATTATTTATTGTAGGCTAATATTACTTAGTTGAAATATGCTAATCCCAATTTAACTGTGGGACACGTTAAACCACAACAGATAGCTCGGAAATCTAAGGTGTGGTGTAACATAACTACTATGTTTGTTTTTTTTCTGAATAAATACATTAAAGAGTAACTGTATCAAACTGTTTTATAGAACAGTTTCTGTTATGCCATTGTTTAAATTATTCTGCATTTCCACTGTTTAAAACTTTTGGCAGTATCATGCTGGTTTCAGGTGTGGTTGAAATTAGTAAATAAAAAAGGGATGTGTGAGTCAGCCCACAACCGGGAGAGGGAGACGCACACCGTCAGGACTTGACTTGATTGAATGCTTAAAACAAGTAACAAAATCAAAGAAAATGCATAAAACCGCAATCAAAGTTCGCCCCAGCGCCACGTGTTACACTTGATTTTCTCTTTTCTGGGCAATAATGATTGTCTTTTAAAAGGACCAAGTTTATAGAAGTCATTATGTATGAAAAATTGATATTTGGTTTTCAGAAATTTCTCTTGGTGACAGCTGTCTGCAAATAATGGCAGACAGCTGTCATTAATTACTCAACGTGGACAGAGTTGTTCTGTCCACCACATATCACTTGGTGTAGCTTTTTGGTTTTCATCGTCAAACTCAGAACAGACCGCACAAATGTTTCAACGAACACCAATTTTACTCATGGTTGCAGAAAACGCCAATTATGACACCAGGTGACTTTCTCCCATGAATGAAGTCAAGCTGGTCACTATCCTATCAAGTTCTAAATAATTGCAGACTTTCCAGATGCGAACTCAATCTTCATTAAATAATTTTACGCAATAAAATATATTTTTCCATTTATAAGCGGTACAAAAGGTTTGGAAATCTGCAGACTATTTCTGTTTACAGTAGACCAGCTAAACGAGAAGATGGTTTCTAATAGTTAATTTTTACTACATAAATTGATCAGGTTACGTCAATTCAAAAATACATCATGGATGCCAAAGAGTTATTAAATATTTGCCTTTAAAGATCAGAAGATGGCTCATATTACTTTGACAATATTCAATTGGATTTCCCACAGTGTCATGTCAGGAACAAGGAGGAGTTTCTCAATGACCGACATTTCTGTAATCAGGAGAGACACTCCGGTCTGGACCAAGAAAAACTACAACTTCAGCACATGAATAAGTTTCAAAATGAACAAGAATGTTTGATAAAGATCAAGTGCAAGAGGGAAGTAGAGCCAGAAGACAACCAGAATAAAGTGGAAGGTCTGGGAAAAAAACAGAACAAGATTAACAAAAATCCTCTTGCATCAGCCTGGAGAACGAGCAGCTTGAACTGAAGCAAGGGAATATCTTTATGGTGAGTCCCGCTAATGCTCCACATGGAACCAGAACCAAGGAGGGGACGACCCCTTGTTCAGATCTACTGTGTTTATCAAATAGTCCTGGAATCCAATAGAAATAACGGGCTGGAGCAAAAATAAGATGAACATGTTGATGATGCTGAAGTAAAAAAACAAAAAAAAACAATTGTGAGAGTCCAGTTATCTTCGTAGTTCAAAAATTGTCAATATTTTAACAGAATATTATTGAAAAGCTCATTTTAGGAACTTTATCACAAAACATTAAATGGATCAATTACACACAGATGGATGTTTGTACGCCTTTATTTCTGTTAAATATGATTTTCCACGTACAACTTATGAAAACATGGCATTTAAAATTAGAATATTACATTACATTATAAGAAAGTAATAAAAAAAAACGGGCTTAATGAAAAGTTTATTTAATACCTGCTTAAAGTTTTATTTTCAAAAAAATACTTTTAATCTGACAACAGGCCTCATCTGAATGAATATTTTTAATTCGTTAAATAATACAATGGTTTTCTGATAGTGGGATTATCACAAAACTAAACCAGCTCACCTCTGTGAATTTTCATATGAACAGTTAAATTACTTTTTTGACAGAAACGTTTTCCACAGGTCCTACATGAGAAAGGCTTCTCACCTGTGTGAATCCTGCTGTGGTGAAACAGACTTCCTCTTTCGCTAAAACTCTGTCCACACATGAGACATGAGAACGGCTTCTCCCCAGTGTGAGTTCTCATGTGACCAGACAAACTACTACTTTGAGAGAAACTTTTGCCACAGGTCAAACATGAGAAGGGCTTCTCGCCTGTGTGAGTTCGAATGTGACGAGTCAAATGGATTTGCTGGACGAAACTTTTTCCACAAACCAAACATGAGAACGATTTCTCGCCCGTGTGGGTTCTTATGTGCTTAGTTAAATTTCCCCGTTCACTGAACCGTTTGCCACACGTCAAACATGAAAACGGCTTCTCACCTGTGTGAGTTCGAATGTGCTGATTCAAGTAATTCCGAGCAAAAAACCTACCACACACTTTACAAGGAGACATATTATCATTGATGTGTGTTTTCTTCTGAGTTTTTACTTTTTGATACCCTACATCATCACTGTGACCTCTGATCTTCTGACGCCTCTTAATTAGCTTCAGTTCTTCATCTCTATTTGATCCTGAGTGTTCGTTTTCATTTTCACTCATTTCCTGGATTTGATTGTGGGCAAGAAGTTGGTCGGAGTTTGGATCTGGTTCCCAGCAGTCTCCTTCCTCATAAGTCGGATTCACTATGATGGTGTCAGTATCTTGTTTTAGTTCTAGCTGCTCTTTAGTCAGGCTGATGCAGACTTCCTCCTGTTCACCCTTGATCCTTGGTGGTTGTACTTTTTGCTGTCCTTTTGTATAAAAACATTCTTGTTCCCCAAGGCTCTTTTGCATCTGCAGAGGTTCTAGCTCTTCTGGTTCATCTTTTATCTGTGATACTTCAACATTTCCCTGCTTCTCTAGCATGTCCTGCTTTTCTAATCTTTCTAGTCTCTCTGTATTTTGCTGAGGTTCCGGACTATTCTGTTGCAAACTGGGACTCCTCTCTTGGTGGTAAGTGAGAACCTCCTCTTCCTGTGGGAAGCCTGAGGAAAGAGAAAGAGAAAAAGAAAAATACAAAGGTGTGATTATCCTAAATAAAAAAAAGTTTTGTATGCAATAAAAGCCTCTCTAATCTCAAGGATGCATTCGAAATATTATTACAACATTATACATTCAAACTGTTGATGACCCCTTCATTCTTCAATGTTTTCACCACATTTTGACGCTCACAGTAGCACCCACCTCAATCTAATACTTAACCCAAATTTTACAGACTCGGCACAGTCTCTCATTATTGCTGCTGGTAGTCGGCTAATGCATTAGTGAGGTTGGGTTTTGTGATGCTTGGTATTTATTTCAAACCCTGCATATGACATCACAGGTTAGGAATAAAAAGTTAACGAAACTCTTTGAAAATGCAGGGAAAACTAAAGCTTTACATAAGGGCTGCCATTCAATGTAGCAAACCACTAAGCTCCTATTAATCTGATCTGACTAAATAATAAGGATTCCCTGCCATGTCCTGGCTGTTGAAGCAGAAAGCCACTGTACCATCTAAAAACGGTTTAGACAGAAAAGCAAAGTTATACTGAAACCCAGTGTATCAAAGTGGTAAAGTGTCAAAGCAGTTTCTGAAGGAAAAGGGTGACTTCAGAGGGAGATGACTCCTATTATTTAAGCACATGCAATTGTCATTGTGCTTTTGTCTAAATACTTTATTAGCTCTGTTTAATCACCTGTTAAAATTGGTCTGGGGTAAAATTACCTACTGATTGTCTGATAAGTGTTAAATGAGCCAGGTTCTTCTGGAGGTGTTTTCATCTTAAAGGGGAGTTTTCCTTCCCACTGTCACCACATACCTGCTCAGCACGAGGGATTGATGCAAATCATGTAATCCAATGTTTACTGTCGTTTATCCTTTATTTAGCTTTTTCCGTATTTTGATCAGGCATCGATGTCACCATTAACCCTTTAAGAGCCGCAGCAGTCAACTTGAAACAGCTTCAACCAGACTTTCCTGCTTCTCTGTGATCAGTAAGACGACATTAATTCCTCTGGTGGTTCATACCTATTCTCTGCAGATCTATTCGGGATTTCCAGCAGGTTTCCAGCAGCCTCCGCTGACGATCCAGCTCTTCCTCGTACCGCACGATGGTTTTATCAAACTCCGTGAGTATTTCTTCGGCAGCGGCGGTCAGTCGCTCCCTGATAAAGTCTCTCAGAGTCTGGGATAAAGACATCGTTGCTGCAGAGCCACAAACATTCACATTACATCCCTAAATGTAGCTAACACTGCTAACAGGTGCCCCTACAATCTGCTTCCTGCTTTGACGGAGACTCGAAAGAGACGTCTTTGCGCATCATCGCCACCTGCTGGAGAAAAATATATATCACAACTGAACAAAAATAAAATATGAAAAGCGTAGTCCATTTTTTGTACTTTGCATTTTTAATATATCACCAGATAAATAATTTCTTATCCTGATAAATGATACAGAGTGTCTCTCCTTTCTCTAATTTTAAACCTGAACTAATCAAACTTTATTCTGTTGTTTGGGTCAAAATACAAAATAGAATAATGCTTAGATAATAATTTATTGTGATAAACTGATGCAAATGATTTTTTTTTTGTTAATTTGAAGTTCAAGGAATACACTAATGAGCACCATGAAGATACATGACAGGGCAGATAAGTGCAATTTTGACTTTCCATTGCTCTTTCTCCAGACTGTTCAGGGTGTCTCTATACTTAAATTAGGTGGTAAATTATCAATTTCCTCATGTTCTCATATCAAAAATTACAATTTTGGTGGTTCCTTCCAGAAATTTTATCACATGTATTGTTGAGTTTATTGTTTATGTAGCTGCACAGCTTATGCCTCAAGTTAACTGGACTGGAGGTTGAAAATACTGATGTAAAACAAAATGTAGGATGTGTGGGACCAAACGGTAAAACACTACTCAAAAAACAGTTTTTTTCTGTAGAATAGTTTTTATTTTACTATAGACAAATGGAAAAAAAAACACATCCAAAATAAAACCACATTTAACACATTACTTCACACTTCATGAACCTTACTGATCACTAACCATAACATTGTTCATTTTCTAATCCGAAAACATAAAAGATAATTACAGTTTATAAGGACAAAAGAACTTAATAATTTTGCAAGTCATTTAGAAAATGTTTTACACCAAGTGGAGAAAAATAAAAAGAGAACTGCTGACACACTTTGTGTTATACCTGCTTGACAACTTTCGTTCGTGTAAATACAGTTTCACACTATTCACACTCTTGAGTTTCTCGTCTTTTTTCCGTACACTTTTTTCCACTTCTGCACACTTTGTGATCTTTCAACTATCACCATATCCTGCTCCGTCAGGACATTACGTTCCATGCAGCCCCTTGTCAACATCCTCTTGCTGATGTTGGCATTTGCCAAATAAAAATCTGCTCTTCATACACTTTTAGCTGGTACATTGCTATTTGCATAGTACATGAATGAACTTACGTAGTCAACATGCGGGTAATGGCATGAGGGCTAAAATCACTTTGACTGCATTTACTAAATACCTACTACGTCTAGTTAATGTTAAACAACATGCTAGTCAAAGTCAGCATGCTGCTGACAGCATTTCATCTAACATTAGCTTTTTAGCTAACATTTGAAACACTAGATGGAACAATTTAACGTTATGAAACATGGTAGTGACCCACAGCCTTTAGCACGATCTATAATACACGTCAGCCAATGTCAGTATATGAGCTTCTCTGCAGCTAAAAATGAGCTAAAATTAATTTTTCTCTTTATGTTCTTCAACATATAAGCAAAAATTTTTGCTTTGAAGCTGGATTGCAGACTGCATTATTTTTTTAATGTTTTTGCTAATTTAATTTTTTTAATTTTTTTTTTTTACACTGCACAGAGTATGTTACTGTGTAAGTCACCATGAGAGCGCTAGCCTAGATGCTATCATTATTATTTTAGCTTTTTTCTTCACTTTAATTGTACATGAGAAAGGACTCGTCTGTGTGCAGTTTAATGTGCTTGTTCAGTAAGAATCGTCTGGTGAACCTTTTTTCGCAAATCTTGCATGAGAAGGGCTTTTCACCTGTGTGAGTTCTCATATGAACGGTCAAAGTGCAGCGCCGGTTGAAACTCGATTTACAGATCATACATGAGAAAGGTTTCTCACCCGTGTGGATTCTCATGTGAACGGTCAAATTACTTATTCGATGGAAACTTCTTCCACAGATGATACATGTGAACGACTTCTCGTTTGTGTGAGTTGTAATATGCTGAGCTAAAGTTTTTCTACTGGGGAACCTTTTATCACAGGTCACACAGCAAAAAGGCTCCTCACCTGTGTGAATTCTCATATGATCAGTCATATAACCCGGAGATGAAACGTTACCTGGCAGTTTCTCGTTGTTTGTTTTCTTCTGTCTTTTTACCCTTGGACTGTCTTGGTGTTCACCATGTCTTCTGCTTTCCCAACCCCGCTTACTTTGTCTCAGTTCTTCATCTCTGCTGGACTCCGGGTCCTCGTCAATGCTATTTTCTTGGTTCTGGTTCTCAAGTTCTGAAGGGATCTGGATTGGGTCCCGACTTGGTTGCTCTTCCACATCGTCTCTTTCTTCATAAGTAAGGTCTTCGTCAAAGATATCAGTCTCCTGCCTCAAGACCTGAGGCTCTTTCTCTGGGCTGACACAGAGTTCCTCCTGCTCTACCTTTACCTGTGGATGTTCTGTTTCTTCCTGATTGGCTGCTTTCATCTGCGGTTCTGTTCTCTCCTGTTCCTCGTTGATCTCCTGAGTTTCAAATTCACCCTGATTTCCTTTCGCTTGCAGAGGATCGACTTCCTTCTGGGGTAAATTGGAGCTCCTCTCCTGGCTGCAGAACTGCTGGTTATTGAGAAACTCTTCCCCGCTCCAGTCATAATGCTGCGGAGAGTCTGGATAGGCAAGAAAAAATTACATACCGATTAATTTTAGACTGAAAAGAGAGCACTCCGTTTTTTTTTCAATTACCTGGCTCATCTTATAACTTTAATCACATTAAATGAGAAGGTTATCAACGCAGCTAGAATCCCCAGAGTCCTGCAGTCTTCAGTTTGACTGCTGAATTTGACTGAAACTGGTTTGTAAAAGAAAACTGTAGGAGCTATTTCTCCATTATTTTTAGTTAAAGTTTAGAACATAGATCATTTAGTTTATTTGTTTGTTTTCTAGTTGATTTATGATTAGAATGTTTGTTTTCTAAATAAGTTTTTTGATTAGTAATTCACTTAATTAGTTAATTGATTTCAGTTTGGGAAGTGGGTGTGTTTCACAGTATAAATATGTAGCGTTTAGGTGAGTTTTAGTCACGTGGGTGGTCATATGGTTTTTTACCGGTCGGTCTGTCCGTCTGTTTTTTTTTTTTTGTTCGTCATCAGTCAAGTTTTATCAATCAGATAAGGCAGGTTGTCCTAAGCCTGTAACTTGTTCTTGGTTAAAGGCTGAATAAAGCAAACAAAGAATTGCATTTTGACTGTTTGACCTTTTGTTTGGACTGTGTAAACCAAAACCCACGATGCACAGTATTGGATGTTTGAGTTTATTTTATTTTTCTTTGGTTGTTTTTTTGAGATTTGAATTTTTTCGATTTTTTGGAATTAAGTTCGGGACAAATAGTCAATACACAAACTATCCCTCTGCTTAAGTCAATATTTCCCAACCTTGATCCCCATGGCACATTGTTTCAGATGAATCAGTTTCTACGCCTGAGTGATCTGATTGCACTTCAGCAAACCCTGCCAACTGAAATCACCCAGGCTGAAGCGAGGAAACACCTAAAACATGCAGGGCAAAGCGCTGTGAGGACCAGTGCTGGGAAACACTGGCTAACGCCAAGGAAACATAGCAGTTTACTTGACAAATTTCACTTCAGTTTTGTCTCTTAGCTTTAAAATAATTCTAACAATAAAGACCCTCCACCAACACTTTCCTGTTTCTCTGTGATCAGTGAGACAACAGTAATTCCTCTGGTGGTTCATACCTATTCTCTTTCGGTTTATTTCGGGGTTCCAGCAGATTTCCAGCAGCCTCCGCTGGCGGTCCAGCTCTTCCTCGTACTGGACGATGGTTTTATCAAACTCCGTGAATATTTCCTCGGCAGCGGCAGTCAGTCGCTCCCTGATAAAGTCTCTCAGAGACTGAGACAGAGACATTGCTGCAGCAGAGAGTAGCTCACACATAGCAAACAGAAGCTAACGCGGCTAACCGACCCCCAAAATCAAAAGGCTGTCTCTTAGCAAGACTAGCGGAAGTCTCTCTGGCTGCAATGCGCGCTCCCGACAGAGGGGGGCAGAATTTCACACAAGACCTCGACTAACCATCGACATGATAAAGATTGGTTTTATTTATTGGGGCCTGCCCATAGCAATGCATAAGGAGAGCAGTGACTGACAAGTCAGTCACTGCTCTCCTTATGCATTGCATGGCAGGCACCTATTAATCTACACCCAATAGAACGTCTCTTTATTTCTTTCTTTATTTATTTTTCTTCCGTCAACCGGAATGCGGCTCGCACCGCTGCGAGCCCACCCACAAAAGTGGTATCAAAACGTGCGGCTCGGCGCCAAGAGGGGTGCTATTACTTTTATTGGGAATCAGACTTACGACGGCGACGTAAAAAGCAAAAAACGAGCGAAATTTCCAACTGTCGAAACGCAGAGCATAACTGCCACCAACTGCCGCTCCGCTAGAGTGGAGAATGAAGTGGATTTCTGACCCCAAATAAATTTTGAAATCGCCGCCACGCCCACAAATATCGTGCTATCGGTATCAAACTCCGTCATGAGATCAATACGAATGTCTGCTCCGGTAAAATGTTTAAAAAAATTCTAGGGCTTACGGTTTTCTGTCAAGGTGCTTTAGAGCAAAATCAAGTTCTAGCCTAACTGACGCTCTCCACGATGTATTTTGATACTTTTATGGAAAATTTCAGACCTCAGCGCACACCATTTTTCTCTCATCGCTGCAATCACTGTGAATGAGCTACAGATATGATTTGCAGGACTATCGGAGACGAAAAATAGCTCTCTCATACGCTTCAAACGGTTTTCCGATACGTATCACGGTTTCCGACCGGCAAGGAGTTGTTCGGGCTGCTTTTTCCATTATAACTGAACTGGGTGTCTCACAAAGATAGAATCTGTCTCTGCCTCACACACATGACAGTTGACCTCTTTAGAACTACAATTCCTGAAGGTTAGAACTACAACATGGCGGAACACTCAGTGCCTACAAAAGAGCTCAGAGCTGATTGTCAGAACTACAACATGGTGGAACTGTCAGTTGCTACTGAGGAGGAATGAGCTGGCCTTTAGAATTACATTGTGTTTGGGCTTTTTATCACTGATTTTAACCAACCATTGTTACAAACAGTATTTGTGTGAAAAATTTAAATTAAGCTGAATGAAAATTTCAAAATAAAACCTTGAATATTTCTCTCAGGCCTGTCAGAAAAACTAACTTCTTCAAGCATTTAAATTAAGTCTCTCCTTGTGTGTCACACTGACATGAGAGTTGACCTCCTCTTTAGAACTACAATTCCTGAAGGTTAGGACTACAACATGGCAGAACAGTCAGTGCCTACAGAAGAGGTCATAGGTGAATATAAAAACTACAACATGGTGGAACTGTCAGTTACTACTGAGGAGGACTGAGCTGCTCTTTTGAACTACAATTCCTGAAGGTTAATCAATCAATCAATCAAATTTTATTTGTATAGCACATTTCAGCTACAAGGCATTTCAAAGTGCTTTACATCATAAACACAAAACACAAAGGCATGCAACATAGAATAAATACCAAGTTTTTTTTTTCTCCCTCTTTTTTCCCTTTCTTCCCCCTTCCCTTTGACACGGAATTTAAGCGCCTGTTACCGCCGGACTCCGCCGTCCGTTTAACCACGGGTATTCGCCGGCCCCGTTGCCCACAACAGGAAAAAAAAAAAAAAAAAAAAAAAAAAAATTACATACATATCCACAAAATCAAATCCATACATATTACATTTTAAATGCAACTCTAAACAGGTGCGTTTTTACTTGAGATTTGAAGGAAGTCAGGGTTTCCGCTGTTTTACAGTTTTCTGGAAGTTCCAAATTTTTGGTCCATAGATGCTGAAAGCTGCTTCTCCTCTCTTGGTTCTGGTTCTGGGGATGCAGACAGACCAGAACCAGAAGACCTGAGAGGTCTGGAAGGTTGATACAACAACAGCAGATCTTTGATGTATTGTGGTGCTAAACCATTCAGTGATTTGTAAACTAACAACAGTATTTTAAAATCTATTCTTTGAGCTACAGGGAGCCAGTGGAAGGACTTTAAAACTGGTGTTATGTGCTCTATTTTCCTGGTTCTAGTGAGAACGCGAGCAGCAGCATTCTGGATCAGTTGCAGCTGTTTGATTTGATTTGTTGGACAGACCTGTGAAGACGCTGTTGCAATAATCAATGCGACTAAAGACAACGCATGAATGAGTTTCTCTAGATCTGGCTGAGACATTAGTCCTCTAATCCTGGAGATGTTCTTCAGGTGATAGAAGGCCGATTTTGTTACTGTCTTTATGTGGCTCTGGAGGTTCAAGTCCAAGTCCATCACTACTCCCAGGTTTCGGGCCTGATCGCTAGGTTTTAGTTGTAATAACTGAAGCTGTGCATTGACTCTAGATCGTTCCTCTTTAGGTCCAAAAATAATGACTTCAGTTTTATTTTTGTTCAGTTGGAGAAAGTTTTGGCACATCCACACATTTATCTGCTCTAAGCATTTATTCAGTGATTGGATGGGTTCAGAGTCACCTGGTGACATTGTAATGTAGAGCTGTGTGTCATCCGCATAGTTGTGGTAGCTAATATTATTTCCTGTTATGACCTGAGCTAGTGGGAGAAATAAATATTAAATAAGAGGGTCCTAGGATTGAACCTTGGGGTACCCCACATGTGACCTTTGACCTCTTTGATGAGAAATTTCCAATTGAAACAAAGAAATCCCTGTTCTTTATGTAGGATTCAAACCAGTCGAGCACCGAACCAGAGAGTCCGACCCAACTTTCAAGTCGATTCAGTAATATCATGGTCAACAGTGTCAAAGCTGCACTGAGATCCAACAGAACCAGCACCGTGGTTCTCCCACAGTCCGTATTTATATGGATATCATTGAATACTTTTACGAGGGCAGTCTCCGTGCTGTGGTGAGCACGAAAACCAGACTGGAAAGTGTCAAAGCAGTTGGTCATCATGAGGAAACTATTTAATTGTTTACACACAGTTTTTTCAATAACTTTGCTGATGAATGGGAGGTTTGAGATTGGCCTGTAATTCTGCAGTAGTGATTTGTCCAGGTTGTTCTTTTTTAACAGTGGTTTGATGACTGCTGTTTTCAAGGCCTGGGGGAAAACACCTGATGTAAGCGATGAGTTTACGATTTGGATCAGATCAGTAGCAATAACAGGCAGGACTTTCTTAAAGAAATGTGTGGGAAGGACATCCAGACAGCAGGAGCTTGAACTTAATTGACTTATAATTTCTTCTAGAGTTTTATAATTAAGTAGTTGAAAATGGGTCATTTTTTCTGGATTTGTTTTGTTTTGGTACAGCAATGGGTTCTGGCTTTGAAGTTGATGTGCAGATTAATCCTCTGATTTTTTGAATTTTCTCTGAAAAGAAATCAGAAAACTTATTACAGGCAACATTAGATTGGAGTTCAGGTGGAAACGTCACAGGAGGGTTGTGAGCCTGTCAACTGTTGCAAAAAAGTTCGAGCATTATTGATGTTTTTGTTTATGACATCTGCAAAGAAAGCCTCCCTTCCATGTTTTAGTGTTAAGTGATATTTACGTAGTTTTTCTTTGTAGATGTCGTGATGAACATGAAGTTGAGTTTTTACGCCATTGTCGTTCTGCCCTGCGGCAGAGTTGTCTTGCAGACCGAACTATTTGTGCATTTCTCCATGGAGATTTCTTTCTACCAGTCAAAACCTTTACTTTAATTGGGGCAATGGAATCAATGATATATGAAACTTTAGACTGAAAATCATCTAACAACTGATCTACATCATTACAGCTTAAGGGTGAGGAGGAAGAGTAGATTTGATTAATGTTTCTGCTGTGTTTTCTGTGAAAGAACGTTTTTGTGACAGTAGCTGTTTGTCCAAGTGGGTCAAAGAATAAAGAACCTTCAAAGATAACAGCAAAGTGATCCGACAGGGCGACATCAGTTACAGAGACATTGGAAATATTCACACCCTTACTGATAACCAGGTCCAGTGTGTGTCCTTGAGTGTGTGTTGCTTGTTTGACATGTTGTGTTAACCAAAATTTTCTAAAATATCAGAGAGCTTTTTTGCTCCTCTGTTTTCGGGTTTGTCCACATGAATGTTAAAATCACCAACAATTATTAAACAATCATAATCAATGCATATGAGAAAAGAAGATCATTCAAGTCAGTAAAGAAATTTTCCACATATGCTGGAGTTTTGTATAAAGTTAGTGTCAAGTTCGTTTGAAGCCTTTAACCTGAATTCCAAGATACTCAAAAGATGTGAAATGACCGAAAGAGATTTTACTACAGTTTATGGTATTTTTAAATATAGAAGCCACGCCTCCTCCTTTTTTATGTTTTCTATTCTCACTTAAAAAATTGTAGTCAGGAGGCGCTGATTCAATGAGTACAATTTGGTCATTATCGTCATTCAACCATGTTTCTGTCAGAAACATAACATCAACATTATACTCAGTGATGAAATCATTAATTAACAGAGCTTTAGCACAGAGTGATCTGATATTTAAAAGAGCTACTTTAAGTGGCTTGGAGGCCAAAAGATTTTCAGTCTGAGGTTCCTTTAGGCAGGGGATCACTCTGAGGTTTGAATTAGGACCGCTGTATTTCATATTTCTGGTTTTTGTAAATTTTCTTGTAGTGATCCGGACAGGTAATGTCCTGTTCTGCAGAACCCGGGGGCCAGACACATTCTGGATGGAGACGGGTGTAAATATAATATCTGGGCCCCGACCTCTGACCTCAGAAACGCAGAGTGATGGATCCTCTGGGAAGTCAGGGGCAGGTTGCTTAAATGTAGTGAGGTCTGCTACGTGAGTGCTAAGGAGAGACGTGCCGAGGCGAACCTGTTGATTCATTCCATCTGTAAATTTAAGAAACTCTGGTCCGGAAGACATTTCTTCATTGGTATCCATTGAATCCTGTGAATGTTTGGAGGAGCAGAGAGGGAGGGGGAAGGAGCGAGGGAAGCAGTCGCTCCGTCTCCAGTCGATTT